GGCTCAAGTTCGGTATCGCGAAGGCCATCGAGCACCAGGTGCTGTCCACGGCGACTCAGTCGTCTGCGTGCAAGGGTGGCGCGGTGGTATGGGCCATACGAACACCATCCGCGTTGTGCTGGCGGATCCGATGAATTTGGGGCTTGCGCAGGTGTGAGCGGGGTTCGTGCCGGAGCGGAGGGAGGCGGTTAGGTCGTTGGGGTTGGGTTGGGCGGGTTGCGAAAAAAAAAAAATCTCTTTTATTAAAAGTAACAAGAGAAAAAGATTGTTTCTTCTTTCCTCCTCCCCCCTCCTTCCCCCTTTCTGTCCTGGAGATTATTGTTTCGTTTGTCGTGGTGGGTGGATTTCTAGATTTATTGATCGAACGAGGAGACCCCCTTCCCCTATGTGAGAAATAGTGACGTTTTGTGGAGAGCCAAGGATAGTAGTGGTTTTTCTTTTTCTACTTTTCTTTTCCTTTTTCTATTTTACTTCATCCTCCATTTTTTATTGACGAAAAAAAAGAAACGAAAAACAAATATACATAGTAATTAATAAAAATTTGGTTCTTGGGCGATGACGATGCCACTAACTTTTTTTTTTCTACTTTCAATGTTTATACGGTTTTGTTAACTCGTTGAAGTCAGGGAATTTTCGTATGGAAGCAGAATGAGGAGAATCGCCCTGCACACATGGCTCGGAGGAAAAAAACTTTCTTCGTTGGATGCCCCATCCATATAAATTAATTCAGTAATGTGCTATCAATTGCTTGGTTTTGTGTGTCTGTGGATCTTGAATTTGTAATTATTACTCTTTGGATACAATGAGCTGAGCAAAAAAAGACAAAAAAAATTATGAAGCTTGACGTTTTTGTGAGCTGGAAAATTGTACATGGTTTGTATAATAAGAAACAGAACTTTCCCGAGTGTATCTGTGTTGGTGCGGCATGGTAAAACAACGTACTTCTTGTAAATAAGGGAGATATAAAGTTACGGGAGGAGGGGAAAGGTGGGGAGGAGTGATTTATAGATCCGACAGGAATATTAATAACTATCATTAAGAAATACAGTTGGAAGGAAGGCGGAAGTAGAAAATGGGGGAAAATGAAAGCTGACCAAAGGAACTAAGTGAAGAAGTGTGTCTTAACACCAGGTGGACATAGAAAAAGTGTGCTGGGAACATGCAAGATGCCAGCATGGATTGTCGTAGCTTCCATGTTTCCTGTCTTTAGTTTCTTTTTTATCTTATTAACCCTCCTCTCTGCGAGTTTCTCGTGGACAGGATAGGTTCGTGGCGTTCGGATTATTCATGAATTCGTTTTTTCTAAATATATAAACATGCATTCAAACTGGCTCATAGTTTGATTCAATTCAACATAATTTCATATTCTCGTGAGTCGGAGTCATTGAAGTCGTAGGCCGGGCGTAAGTAAACACTTATCATTTTTTTCTTCTTGGTTAGAAGAAATATAATTTCACGAGGGCTGTAGATAGGGTTAAAAAAAGGAGAAAAGGAAAGAAAAGGTGAGCTGCGGTAGAAGATATCTGTAGTCTGAAGGAACTATTGGGTGGGTATGAGATGTGTGCAATCTAAGATGTGCCACCTCCTGATTCGGCATTTTCTTCCCTGCCGGCTTCACAGGTGTCTCGCTCCCGTTTGCATTCACGCTCAGAGCTCTTTAGTCTCACGTTGCGTCGATCCACGTACGTGGTGTGGAATTGGTGCCAAGAACTAGGCGTGGTTTTCGTTTCGTTAGTAACCTTCGACTCACATAAGATCTCTTCACCTTGACGGCGGTTGAAAGTTCTGGAATGTATACTCACTTTGGAGCATGCAACACGTATCTCGCCATCGCCTCCCGGAAACGACTCTTGTACTCCTTCGGACTGGTGACGGTCGGTCTATTCTTCCCACCGCCAGCAAATCCGCGATCCTTAATCCATGACTCTAATTTCTTATCCCAAGTATATGTACGGATGCAATCGATGATCCCGACGACGAGTTCCTGGCGATTTTCATCAATCGCGATCATAAGAGAGTAGTCCATGACGTTCTGTCGGGCGAGGAATAATGTGTCATTCCATACGCTCTGGCTTAGTAGTTTCTTGGAGTGTTCCCGAGTGAACAAAGGGCTCTCGTAGATGAATTCAACCATGTTTTCATCGAGGAGGACTTCGTTGCGCTCGCCTGTGCTTTGTACTTTGCGATTACGCATTGAGCCTTTTAGATCGAAGATCCGTGTTGGATTTCTGTCATAGAATAGGTTCTCCATGAGAAGCAGGAACCAATTAAATTCGACACCTGTGACGGGGTTCTTGATGATAACTTGGTAGAAGCCGAACATCTTTGCGATGGCCGAGGGTAGTTCGTGAAATAGAGCTTCTGACATAATTTGAAAGTATGCTGGAGCGAATTTTAGAAAGGCTTGGGTCTCGATGGTTGAGAGAGATTTGAGGATGAACCGATCATCTAATGTTTTGAGGAAGAGTGACTTGGTTTTCCCGCCTCTGGAATCCCATTTCATGCAGCGGGATAGTGATCCCACTATCCGTTCTGAGACACCGCATTTTCTTCGGAGTGCATCGAATTGCTCAGCATAAAAAACTTTACAAAGCATCTTGGTCTGGCCTTCTTGGAACTGGTATTTGAGATGTGTTCCCGTCTCTCTCAGCAGTGAATGTTCAACTTCTGGCTCACGACGTCCATCATTGGGTTTGGTTTCTATTATTTCGTCATGCTCTTGAATGCTCCAAAGTTTATTCTTGTAATCCTCAGAGTCCAGAGCAAAAGCAATCAGGGAGCTTGGTTCATCCTCTCGAACAATGATATCGCAATCTGCGAAAACGTGATCGGAATCACTGAGAGGGTATTCGAGTGGCGCCCACCCACTGGCGGAGCGTTCAGCCCAGAAATTTGTCAACACTTTAAGCAGTGAAGTCCGTTCATACTTCGGCAACTCCTTGAGATAAAGTTCGTCAGGTGACAACTTATTCGTCTCTTCCGGGGAATCAACAATCTGAAGTTCGTCCAGCAGACTCCTTTCAGCGTCACTGTGCTCTTCTTCTTCCTCCTCCTCCTCCTCTTCTTCTTCCCCTCTGCCTCCTTCGCCTTCTGCCTCTGGAAAAACTTGACTGGCTTTTTGTATGCTTTCTTTTGATTTACTAGAGACTCCATCCCGTTGTTCCTCCGCCGCCTCTGACATTTCTTCTGGCTGAGTAGGGCCCACCATTTCGCTCATTAATGTGGTTGATTCCTTTGAAGTAGCGGCAGAGGACTGATTTGACAGGAAGTCCTCATCTGATGGGTCACGTTCCTCTACTGCATCCCTAACGTTCTTATAAACTTCTACAATCGGATTTGAAGAAGCCATGGGGTATGCGCGAGAGTTTTTTCTCTGCAATGCTCGCTGTTCCCGTTCCTTTAAACGCTCTTTTTCAAATTCGCGACTGAGCTGTTCAAAATGTCTTGCGAGATTTGAAACCCGCGAGGTTCTGGATTGTACAGAGCGGGGTATCAGGGAATGGTGACCAGAAGTAAGTTTACTGGGTTTTAAGGACGATAGGCCTAAGCGATCCGAGAACCTCTTTTCATTTCCTTTTAATTTTGAGTCACTACTTTGTCCTGTCTGCTTCTCAGCCCTTTTAGGGCTCGAGCCACCAGTTGATGACCTTTGTGGGACTTGTATTCCAGTCACACTGCTGTTGTCATTTGAAACATAGCTTGGTTGTGACTGTGCTCTTAGCAATGGTGGAGATGTTCCATTCGGGTCTTTTCGAGCCGATCTCTCTGTCGGTCTGGGAATACCGGAGGGCCTGGGTGTTTGAGGTGCGCGTATAGCAGGCTGCTCCGTACTATCTTCGCTGCGTTGTTTCTCTTCAGATTCGGTCTGGGCCTCATTTGAGGCGTCCGACAAGAGCAATTCGGGAGCAGATTGAGAATTGCTATCAGATGCAGGGTGAGCTTCGGCAGTAGTTTCAGCTGAATGAGAGGGAAGGCGCTCGGGCTGAGGAGGGTTAGGATTTTTCGTCTCATTCTGAGGAGATATGACTAAGTCTAAGTGTTGAATATCTTCCTCAGAAGCCATTGGCGTCGCTGGCAGTTTTACGGCTTCACATTTCTCCACTTTTGGGAGGGTGGGAGAATGAAGCTGCTCGGGACTTTCATCGTCCCTATTAAGCTTACCTGAATGCTCTTCCACTACGGAAGCGAGAACATTCTTAGCCTCTTGAGGAGATAATGTCATCCTCCTCGCCAATTTCGGGCTTTCTACCAATGGCGAAGTAGTTGTCCCATCGGTCTCCTCTGCCTCAGAAGGCGTTATCGTTGACATCTCGTCAGTGGAAGTGAAGGATGCGACAGAGCCCTCCTTATCGAGGAATATCCTTTTGAGTTGTAATGTTGCCAATCGTCGAATATCTTTTTCGGAAGGAAAGAAATTCCGTTCAAATTCTGCGAACGTCGCATCCCACTCCACAGCTTTTTCCTGGGTCGCATGAATCACCCTATTCAGCGGGACTATTTCCCAGTATCGAGAATTCATGTACAGTTCTTGGTGTTGTTTAATGAGGGCTAGATGATCATCATTCGCCCGTTTCGTGAGAGCCTCAATTTCTTGCTTGCAGCTCTCAGCCATTTCTGGCATGACGCTGTCGACATTAATACTTTTTAACCTGGACTTAACGGATAACATGAATCGATTCAAGCGCTTCTCGGCTTGCGTGTAGATTTCATTCCGGAGCCTGAGATCTTTATCAACTTTCCACGTAACGCGGGGCCGCGGCACAATTATTTCCAGCAAATTAATTGGATCATAATGAATGCGAATAGCCACATCTCTGAAACCAAAATATCGAAGGTGGTCGCGATGCAAGTCATGAGGACAGACGCCCGCACGTGCGTGTAAATTCCCGCACCAAAATGATAATTCAAGATATTTTCCAAAAGAATACCTCCAAGTGCTTTCTGACATGGGGATAGCTGGTGTTTCATTACCACAGATCTTGCAACAGCTCCACATTAAAATCACATCCTGCAATCCGCGAAGCTTGGATGGATATGTTTGCACAATGACAGTAACCTGGGCTTCACCATGTACGTACTGCCGGTGATGATTAAACATCCGTTCCTCACAACCATTCACGTCACAGACGTCGTTAGCGCTCAGGCAAAGTTCTTCGACATACTGACCTAGAGTAAAATCGGCTTCGAATATCCTGTCCGATTCATGCTCATTGTAGAATTCGAGAGCAAATATCTCCGGCCCAGCACACGGAACGGAGGTTGTCGTACAGACAAGGCTGTGGAGCACAACAATATTTTGATGTGCAAAGGGATCAAAGAGATTGTCGTTTCCGGAGATAGAGGCCTCCCACTGTCTTTTTTGTGTTTGGTAATTGTGCAGCGCTCTATCATATTCTGCATCATGGACGGCATGAAGAACTTCCTTTACTTTGGCTGGGGCACCGGAGAGGGATTCATGGATCATCTCGGGAGTAATGAGAACAAATTTTTGAGATTTAGATTTATCATCGCTTAGCTGCTCGGTTGAGAAGTCCTGATCACGAAGCCGTTTGAGATATGCAAGCTGTCGCTCTAGCTCTCTCGCCCGCATGAGAAGGTAGGGGGGCATGAATTTCACAAATGGGGATGCGGAAAGAATTTTTGTTTGATGTTTCTCGACCATATCCTCGTAGAAAGCAGGCTCAGTAGTAGAATTGACGCTATTATTTTCAATAGATGCGCTCGTAGCGGTGTCGCTAACAGAAATTGAACCATGGGATGTCGTCAGCTCTGTTCCAGATTTTGCTCCGTCCGTGACACCTGACTGAGAGCTGGTTGGATCGCGTGTTGTGGTGCTCAGATCGTCCGTGATGCTAGAGGAAGCACTTGTTTTAGCGGTCGATGTTGTATTTGGGGGCGAGGAGGGTATTTTCGCGAACTCGTCTCTCATGAGACAGGTTTCCAACTTCAAATTGTATACAACATAGACCATGAATTCCGTGATCCGTTTAATTTTCATGAGAAGGTCACTTTCAGCGCCACGTAGGACGATTGTGCATCCCAATTCCTTCAGACAGCCAGATATATACATATATGTCTTTTTGCGGTTTTTGTGGACATATGTTTTCAGATCAAAGCTTCCACATTGGCCGGTATACGATGGATTGGTGGCTAGCCTGTCCATGGACGTAATAATTCTAGTCTGAGTGCACCTAGACACAGCCTCAATTACCGAAGGTTTGACATTGTACGCAGTGGCGATATTTGCCTTTTCCAACAACTGAAGTGCTAATCCAGAAACATTCTTTTCGACAAGAAGAAGATTAGGGTTCAACGAGGATATTCTGTTGACCAGATTCTCAAGGAATTCGCGTTCTTGACGAATGACAGGCTCCAGACTCATGAAATGCTGCTGGTGGCGTGCGTATTCAAGTGGAAATGTAATGATAAGAATGTTTGGTTGGGGAATAGTTCGCGGCATACTTTTCAAGGCTAAATTTTTCGTAAAGACCAAGCCAGATACATATGATGTATCCCCGGGGCGGCCCCCTGGTATCTTTTTCAGTTTCACATAGTGGCGTATATCCATCGCGTCACCTTGTTGGACATTAGGTTCTACATCGTCCGTGGCTTTAAGGAGAATTGGCAATAGAGCAGTTTCCCAAGAGTGAGAGTGGGGAATATGTGCATCTTTCAGAAGTTGTCGGAGGAGTTTGCGAACGTGATCCAAACTAGCTCGATTGAGTTCAACTACCGGCGCGCCAGCCCCTCTCATCGAAGAGCTTCTAGTCATTTTGAATCCAGCGGAGGCTGATGGACCTTGTATAGATAGGGCTGGTGCAGGTTGATCCTGGTGGAAGTAAATGTGCTGACTATCTTTTGAAGGGCGCGGTGATACGCGCTGGTGGATGCTGCTTGCAACACTCAGATTACGTCGGCGCCCAGAACGAGGTAGGTTCACTGCCTTCGAGCTGCTTACGCTCGTGTCATCACCATCACGGGAGAGGTACAACCCTGGGATTCCGGGCCTGTCGCCAAAACGAGAACGACTTTTTCTGACAGCTGCAAGAAGGCCACCGAAAGATGCTTTCTCACTGTCGCCAACACTTTTAGAGAGAGAACCATCTGAAACAACTGCGAATAAGTTTGATTGCTCATCTCCGCTTGAGGCGTCATCTGACAGGTACTGGGCTAGATCTGGATCAATGATGTTATCCCTGTGGAAGGCCGGCAGCAGGGACTTCCCGCTCATATCCTCTGCAGCACGGCGTTGGAATGGAGCTCTATCCTCGTGGTAGGCTTTAAAACTGCGAATATATTGATGCCGAGAATGATGGCGTTTATGGCCAATGGAATGTTGCCTCCCGTTTATCGACGATTTTAGAGATCTTGATGAAGAGGGCCTCGCAAGCTGGCGATCGGAATCGAATTCGAGGATGGCAGAGCGCCGATTATTCCCATCACCAGCACGCCGAGTTGCAGGAATGGCCATGGTGGGGGTCTTCAGCACATGATCAACCGATTGGGACACAACAGATGAAGCGTCGTCATCGGCCACGCTCAAGCGAGATATATTCCCGTTGGACATGGTGTCAGGACTTCGGGTATTTATAACAATAGGGCTCATGTCATCTCCAGATAAATCTGAAGAATCATCTTGATAAGCGATAATTTTGCTCTCACAAGGCCTGCAAACTCGTATTGAACCGGAATGTCCGAAATCAGCGCCCGGTATCAAAGAGGTGCATTTTGCATCGAAAATTTGGCCGCACGTGCGACAGTGATGTTTCCTTCGGAACGTGGAAAACGGTTCGCCGCAGTGAAAACAATCCTTTGCATTTTCGTCACGCATCCAAAACTCCTTGCCAAGCAGCCTACTTCGGAAAGGGGGCACCTCCTGTCGAGATCGGGCAGGGTGATATTTTGGTTCCTGGGTAGCAAGACCAGAATTGTCAAGGTGGAACGAAACATGGGGAGGAGCTAATGTGAATTGATGCTGTCCATTTGACTCTGAGGATGGTATCCTCGAGGGTCCAAAACCAGGCAGGCGTGATTGGCTGATTTTGGGGGTGACTTTTGGGCGCTCCTTGAATGAGACCTTCGATGAGTGCGTGGATGATTGCTCCTTGTCTGTCATGGTTAGCGATGTTGCTAGTGTTGTAGGTGTTTTGCCTTCGTGGATGGAACTATCCGTGGTTGAGAGTTTTGAAACGCTGTTAGTGATGGAAGTTGGAGCTGGTGAATAATCATTCGAGATGGATTTGTTAGAGTTTCCAGGTTGGCAGTCTCTACGAGAAGGATGTGTATCGTTCGTTCCATCAATCGATGTTTTCCAAGCAGATCTTGAGAAAGATGTATCCAGTTCAGCTAAGGCATGTCGATCTTCGATGGCAGACTGCAATTTTGGAGACGCTGCGCGTTCCATGGGAACACTTTCCGGCAAGCGAGTCTCTCGAAAAGATTCACTGTTGTTATGTCTTGCTATTAAAACTGGCGAATACGACTGCCTACTCGGTGCTGACTCCTGTTGTGACTGTGACTGGCTCGTCGTAGTATGAAGCGAACTATCCCGTCTCTCTGAACTGACAGAATCGACATTCTGCATAATACTAGATGCGATGCTTCCTGAGCCCCTTCTACTGTGAAACGGAATATCCTTCATGGCGTTCACGTTTATTTCAGTCACCGTCGGGTCGGCCATCCCTGACGTGGTCTTGGTTAGAGGCGCAATTGGAGATTTCAACGGTCCGCCAATCTGTCCCGATGCTTTTGACGACACACTGCCAGCCTTAGAGGACAATCGTGACGGCTTCCCTGTATACTGATTTGCCGTCCCTTCTTGTATCGGGGGGAAGGCGCCCAGAACTGGAGATTGCGATTTGGATGCATGGGCCGAGTTCGCAAGCGATGGTTGCGAATCTGTCGATCCTGGCTGCCCTGATAGATTTGAAGGAAATGAAGATGTGTTAGGGCTCCTAAACACAGGTGTTTCTGCTGGTATTATATCAGGCTGTCTTGAAGAACCCCCAACCATATCTTTGACACCGCCTACAGAAGCACGAAATCGATTGTATAGACCGCTAAGGCCGCCTTGCAAATCTCCAACCAAACCCTTGTTGTCCGTTGCTGGAGGGGTAGCAGGAAGACCAGTAAGCTCATAGAAAACTGTGAGCTCATCTGATTGACAAGCGGCATTGTGTATCTGGTTCAACGCTTCATTTCGATGTTCCCGCTCTGCTTGCGAGCTCATAGACCCAAAAGAACCCCGTCTTGAAGGTCGGCCAAGTGGTAGAAATATTGAGGACGCGGAGGGGCTAGAGTTCCCCTGTGACTTTTGAGAGGCCATGTCTGTATTCAACACGCCAACATTAGTAACCTACAATATAAAATAAATCAATAAATCAATAAAAAAGACAAAAACCTTCTTGATCTGATCAAAGCAAGGCTCTCCTCGTATATGGCAGGTGACTTTAATGGCCCAAGGCTTCGTGAGAAAGTTATTCCATCTTTTTGTGGTTTACCTCAGAAGGGAAAACGCGACTCCGGTGAGAATGGCGCAGAGATGGCAACCGTGTGCAAGACACGCAGAAGCAGCGAAATCGAGGTGGGAGAATCGATGGTTGTGGTCATCGCTGCCGCCTGGCTGCTGCCAACTTGACGTGGATCATCAAGAGACGTCACGAACATGTTGAAGGTCCAATGGGAGAGCGCCGTTGTGGCTAAGTCAGCAACTACAGGTTGGCCTAGGCTATTCTGCCAAAGCGGTGAGAGACGGAGGGAGCAAATCACGGTTCATTTACCCCAGTTGGGAATCTTTAAACATCCGTGATTCACGGGTCTAGGGAACTACCAAAGTGGAATACTCCAAGTTACATCTGTCCATTTTGAGTATACTGGCCATGTTGAGCTTTTTTTAGCGCGTTTACGAGCTATGAAGTGGCAGGGATCAAGGACAAGTTATGTCCTACGACGATTTCCAGCTCCATCATGGAGATAATGAGAAAGTGGATTGCGCCTCTTGTCGAAGCCGCGCTATGCTCTTACTTGGGGGAGCCCTTCCCAGACGAAGTGGCCTTACGGAACTCACTGAAGCTGGTAGAGGATGATAACACCCTTCGAGTCCGCGTGGGAGATCAGAAACTCGTGCAGGTGGCTCAGGTATGCATTCGAATTTTATACAGAGGTGGAGTGGGATTGGCGCTGACGTATCTCATGATAGTGGTATCCCGATCCAGAACCCATCCGGGGTACTCTATCTGATTCTGAAACCGCCATCTCGAGCGTTTTTTCCAGAGAGTCTACGGAGATCTTCTTGAAAAAGGCCAGGAAGCGACTTACCAACAATACCCGGGGCGCAATAATCAAGATCAACGAATTCGATATTGTTATTAGCTATGCGAGAGCTCATTCGCCTGAGATCGGTCTCTTTATCCTGGACTTCCATGTTGAGGGATGCGAGGGAAGCAGTATATTTGGCAGCCCAGTCGATGTCAGTGGAAATTCCAGGTTATCAAGCTTGGCTAGGAAGTGTTCAAGAAAGTGTATTACTCAAAGAAATGGTCGTGCTTCCCCCAATGGAGAAGGGCGGGTAGCGAATGTGGCCACAAATTCAGATTCGGATTCAGACTCAGATGCGTCATCTCTGAGATCTCAGGCCTATGACTCCACTGCACCGCTTTCCCAAGAGCAATTTATATCGCAAGCTCCATATCGTCAGCGATTAGATAACCCCCAAGTATCTGCCAGAAAGGACGCTGTCCTGCCTAAGAAGAAGAATGCGACGTTGATACTTTCTGCTCTTACTTCGAAATCAAGACTAGCAGAACCAATCTCAACCATTCCAAAAGAGAAACCGTGTCAAACGGGGGAAAGCAACAGGCCTCTCTCTCGTGAATTTGATGCGGATATAGACCAGATTGGTTTCGCAACTCAATTAGTCCCATCTATTGAGAAAACGAACCCTACCCACGAGGAAACAAACCCCAACGGCCCCCGCGACGCCGAATCGTTATCTCCATGTAGGAACCCGGTTGCAAGTACATCCCTCTCGCACATCTCTGATACTAGATCCCCAAGAGTTGACAAGGGCCGTGATGCGAATGATGTGGCAAGTCGAAAAGGTCGCGATAAGTCAACCGATAACACAGATCCCAACACATCCCCAAAAGCGCCTAAACCAACGGTTCAGAAAGAGGTGACGACTAACAACAACCCGAAGCCAAACGTGCAAACAGCCCGAGATGACCCCTGGAAGAACATGACACGAATTCGCCACCGGGATGTTACAATTCGCAGGGACCAAGAAGATCTAATCCAGATGAAGGAGTCCTGGGTTCCTCCAGAACCGGGGAAGCAGGCACCACAAGCCCACGTCCCAATACGTCTTTTGCAGGAATGGAACGATATGCACTGTCGCAGGCCATCAAGAGAAAAGATTAACGGATGCGCGGCTTCTCAGTCCACAAATGAGGAGGACGACCTTGACTCTGAATTGCTGAAATCTTCGTCACAAGGCGAAGTACTGGACTCGGAATGGGCTGCCACTCCCCAATCAACATCCTCTTCTCATCTTGTTCCGCAAGACAGCAGCCCACTCGCTGTGAGCGACATACGTCCATCACTCCTTTATCCCGCACGCAATGTGTCGGTTCGTAATAACGACATTCTAACTCGTGACAATGTGGACGAGTTGAAAGATGGACCCGACATCCATGTCAAGTCACAAAAAGCATCCGCTTTTGGTACCACTCCACCCATTGAAGATGACGACGATTATTCTGAGATGGAAATGGCAGTTCCGAACGGTTTGGGAGATGTGAGCCAAACTAGTGAAGACTCTGGGGATGAGGAGATCCCAAGGTCTGGAGCCTTAGTCGAACAGACCCCTTATGTCCAAGCAGTTAAACGGAAAATGGCAACAACCATTCACAGCCCGAGGAACACTGATGAAGATTCTGGCCAAAGCTATAACAAGACATCATCGGACCCTCTTATTCCTTCAACCTACGATTCCCGTTGTTTAAATGTTCACCCAGAGTCCTCTATGTCTACTCGCGGAAAAGCCACTCGCAATTCCGTAAAACCCTCTAGTCCTGCACCCACGGAGAGATTTAATCTGCTAGATTGCGGTTTAATGGATGGTGATGATGAATCTATGGCAGAAAGACAACTAGTGTCCGATTTGGATGAATATATGCAAAGCACCCGTGATGAGTATCTAGAAGTATCTACTACAATCCAAGCTCCAGGGACCGCGGAAGACGCTACTAAACCATCTAGTCCCTCCGTTAATATACATGCATCTCAAACTGAAATGAACTCCACCCCGCTGATTATCGGAAAGCGGAAACGGAATGAGATATCTCCCAAGAATAACAATTCGTGTAAAGAGCCAAAGATTTTTAGGTCGCAAGCATCCCGCCACAACAAACTCTCCCGCACGATAAAACCCACGGAATGTCGGCAAATTGGTTTTGAACATCGATCTTGTTTCGGCAATAGCATATTGCCATCAAAAACAGAAGGCATATATAATCGGTTCAAGGAAGCCTATCCAGACTATGCTGGTAGCATTGACGATTTCAGGAAGGCATGCGATGAACTACAGCACCAGCGGGAACAAAATTTTATGAAGCGATCATTTCTGTGGGACGATTTCGTTGTGCGATATCCGTCATATGTCCTACAGTATTGTGACGATGGGGAGTCTTCTCACATTGCTCCCTACGTGGATTATTTTCAAAGGGAAGTCAAAAAGCCATCCTGCCGAAAGCGAAATCTCACAGCCCGCGACCTGGACTTTGTCTTGGCTGACAGGGTAAATGAGAATGAAGCCAAAGAGACTTCCTTTGTGGAGAATCACAGCAGAAGGTCTTCTTGGGCCAGTGTCCTAGTTAACAAACAAGAGCCCCAAACTCAAAACAATATAGTGGTACATGTATCGTCATCAGACGAAGAAACGGATAATGGTCAACAACCGAGCATCCCCGAGTCCAATCATGGAGAGTTACTGGTCGGTTTCGAGATTGATCCGGATAAATCTCTTTCTAAATCAAGTGATGAGCTGGATGTTCAGGAAACTGCTAGTGTCGAACTTGGAGATCCGAACCCTTTTTTTTCTCTTTCTGATTCTGAGAAAGAGAATGCCACTGCCTATGAAGATATTATTAATGTTGAAACCAAAATCAACCTCATGTCAGATAGAATTGCTGAATCAGTGGAAGGGCATTATTGCTCTCCTCTTGCTCCAACGGCTACAAGGCGGGCCCGCTGCACGAACCTCGACAGTGACTCCGACGATGATAGCGTAATGCTTGATAATTCCTCTTCGAACTCCAGCCTACATGAAAGTAACCAAGAAGAGAACCATGATGCCAAGAATGGCCCTGAAAAAGTAGACAGGGCTGATCTACCGAATGAACACAGCCAAGTCTCTCTTGGAAGCCAAGCGAGGCAAATCTCACCTCCACAACAGTCTCGAAACCAATACCGTCGCTTTTTCCACCCACCACCTGAGTCTCCTCAAGACTTTTTGTGGGATTTATACAATAAAGCGAACCAACCAAGTGACGTGAACGATCCAGATGATCCGAAGCAGTGGCATAAGTCTCCAAATACCCCATTTAAGATCTATGCCCGCAATGTGGCAAAGCTCCAGGCAGACTACGGGTTTCGGCAGGATGGATCCAAAGCGGATCCAATTCGTGTGGATGAAGACGGCGTTGTTTGTCCCCCGCCGATGGGGGATCCACAGGGTATGGGCTCGATGGGGTGGAGTCTTTGATAGACAAAATTTGTAAAATTTTCGCCAAAAAATTTTTTATTCATTTTACTCACAACATATATATCCCAGATGGAACAAAATTATTTGCTCTTTATCGAATTAGATCAGAGGGAAAAATGTTTAAGAGGAACGCATGTTCTAGTGACTGTATTGTTAATGATGAAAAGGTTTATTATTCCTCCCTGAGCAGATTTTTCTCTCCCACTTCTTATCTTGTTCTCTTTCAAAATCGGAGTCTGCTATCTTTATGCCCTCATCCATGAAGTCTTTTTATTCTTCGCTGTTGGATTGAGGGTTTGCGGTTTGCCTGAGGCCCTTCCAGCGATTTGATGTGATCATCTAGGACTCACATTATTGTCACTGACTAACATTTGTTTTCCCGATTCCTTTCCTCGAGATGGTCATGATATGTCTACCCACGTCTTGTCTTGTACATTGTATTGCTATAAACCCTATCAAAACTTGGTTCATCTAGAGCTATTAGGTCACCATGCTTCAACAGATTTTCAGAAGCGCCCGCACACGCAGAAGAGGCAGAAGAGGTATCTCCATTCTAGAGAGACTCTAATAGGGGCCAGAATGCACAGTGAAGCAAGAGGCGTCCATCAAAGCCAACCACCGGTCTAGATAATTACTTAGGAGGAGATATGTATTAATTATTATGTTTACAATAACCCTAGAGACTGTTGCAACCAGCAAAAACTCATCACCCATTCACAATACCTTAAGTCCCCGAGAAAATCGTGACACATAATTAACCGTAGCACATTATAACGTACCCTGGCAAACAGGACTTCTCAGGTTAAAAGACTACGCTGGATCTTTACCCTCTTCTGTACGCAGAAGTTCAGCCACCCGTCCATGGCCTTCCTTTATCGCCCAGTTTAGCGGTGTCAGCCCGTCATTGTCCTTTACATTGACATCCAATGTCGTAGCCAATAGCAGTTTAACAATTGCCTCATGTCCATTGCCTGCTGCAAAAGACAATAGGTTCCTGCCATTCGCGGCTGTCCAGGTCCTGTTCACATAAACATTGTCAAGGAATAGTTCCACCACCATCTCCCTTCCGTGACGAACAGCGTGGGACAGGGGAGTGTCTCCACCCTTGTCTTCAGCGTCCATGTCCCAGCCTTCCATTTCGAGGAGTAATTCAACCGCCTTCCGCCGTCCACTTAGTGATGCCCAGGACAGTGCTGTTCTTCCGCATTCATCCTTCAGGTGCACATCTATCTCATTCGTTGCCAGCAGCAGCTGAACAACTTCATCGTGCCCAAGTTCTGCTGCGTAAGAGAGCGCCGTCCGTCCTTTGTTGTCCATTGAATTTACGTTGACTCCTTCCTTTTCCAGCAACAGCTCAGCCATCTTTTGGTGGCCATTAATTGATGCCCATTGTAATGGCGTCAATCCATTCTCATCTCCAACATCCGGATCGACCCGTGCATCTGCGAGCAGCTTTCCAGCAATAGCCAGGTTTCCACATCCTGCAGCATAAGAAAGAGGAGTGCGACCTTTATTATCCTTGAAAATTGGAATAGCCCCTTTCTCTAGAAGATAGTCGAAAGTGATGAAATCTCCGTTTTTGGCAGAATATGATATCGCGGTGCGGTTGAGTCTGTCCCTTCTTTCAAAGGCGGCCCCACGCTCAACGAGGTTCTTAACAATAACATACCAGCCCTGCCTCACGGCGGAGATAAGTGCTGATCTGTGTTCTTTAGCATCTGTCATCATAGGGCTCAGTTCTAGATAGTATAATGTGGAGCTTAGGTCACCAGAGTCAATAATGCGAGATAGGGATATCTCGAGTGAACCCCGCAAATCGGTTCTAACCGAGTCGGATTGGCTGGAATCGAAACCCTCACTATTACGCAATTCTGCTTCTAGTTCTTTCACTGTCCCCTCATCATCTAAGTCCTGTAAGTAACGAAGAACAACGTGGCCATAGCACCTCACAGCGCCAACAAGAGTGAGTCGACAATCCCCTTCCGTAGCAAGTGGGACATGCCTTTGAGTCTCAAATATAGGGTCATTGAGGATTTTGAGAATGCCGTTTGCTGCAAAATATAGTTTTGCATCGCGAAAAGCAGCCTGGCGGTAGCATTCACATAATGCCAAGGCCAGTAACCGTCGGTGGTTAAGCAATTCAGTTTGCCTAATTTCATGCTCCTCCGAGCTCGAACTTGTCTCTGGTTGCAAAGTATGAGGAAGTGCCCATAGTAGAAGTTGCTCTGCTTCGACCCATTTACCATCACGAACATGTGATTCCGCGGCTTTTCTAGCAGCTGAGAGGATCTCTATCCCGAGTGGAAGTTTTCCCTCGAGTCTGAGTGCGGGAATTATGCATGTAAAGGCGTCTTCCACTGGGCCTAGACCACTATTAACGAAAGCATCATGAATCCGACAGATGTTGGTATTGGTAAGACCGAAGCGCTTAGCGTCGCGAACAGTCGTTTTTCCACCAATGCTCCTGATAATCCTCGCCATTGATGCAAAGAAAAGTGAATAAATCTCCTGAGCACACATGATTGGAAGGGATTTGGTCAGCGCGGGGACCTCCAACATTGTGAAATCGCCAACTTCCAGTACATCGGCAGAAACGTTCTGCCAGCCAAATAGGCGGAGATCATTGGAATTGAGAGTTGGCTGTCTTGTCTCAATGATGTTAAAGCCTCCACCTGCACGCCAGAGTTCAAAATCCAAGATTACGTTGGCATTATATCGCGGATTTGATTTAGCAGAAATAATGCGTCTGAGCGGGGCTTGCAGGGGTCCATTTATGCCAGCCTCCTTGAGAGACCAAAGCCATATCCCAAGGACTGCTTCTAGTTCATATTCGTCAGCTCGCCATTTGCCCTCAGAGTTGCCATCTAAGTCAATCTTCCGTCTGAGTGAGAGGTAGATGTTTCTGTCATTCTCTCTTGTCCCAATAACACTACTCCATGGTGAGCTTTCGATTTTGAAATCTATATCCGGTCTTGCGTTGTCAGGTGAACATTGGACGGCCCAGAGGAGAGTAAAAGCTTCATTCCATCCATGCTCAAAGACGACATCGGTGGTAAAGAGAATTTTGGCGGTGTCTTCGATAGCCCTTGCTAAGGATCGTGCGATACTTCGAACAGCAACTAGCCTATCTTCCCAACAGCTGGTTAGTCGCGCAAGACGTGCTCTATGCAGGAGTGCTCTCGGAATATCATGAGGCAGCCTATCCTCTGCTGAGTTCATGTGAAAACTGGCCCTCCATTTTTCGGGAGCAGACTGAACATCGGCCCGAAAATTCTCTGGGGAAAGCTGGGTGTCATTGTCGATAACGGGCCGAACATCTGACCACATCGGAGGGTCAAGTGGAATATCCGCGCGCTTAGTACAAGGCCAGTTTTGAGGTAATTTGTTTGCATGAGATTTGTGATTGTCACAGTGAGCCAGTCGAAAACCAGAGAGTAAGTGCTGATTCCCGTCTTGCACTGACATGATCTCAAACGTAGCATTTTTGCCGATCATTGGCGTTTTTTCCAGTTGGTAAACAGAGGATGAGGTTTGCGGTACCCAGTTCTCGTCAAAGAGCTTGCGGCTTTCTTTGGAGAGCTTCCCTTGGCGGTGATATCTTGCCATAGAAATTGCCCATCCAAAACGGCCATGGCGGCTTAGATTTCCAATGTTTAGGGAGAGCCAGTCCAGTTCATGTCCCTCATAAAATTCTGGACGATCTGCCAAGAAAACTTCACTCTCTTTTAAGCGCTTTGTCCGGAGAGATGATCGTACAGCAGTCATTACCAGAGTGGCACCCAACTGAGCCACTGCTACAGATGAATGGCATGCTCTCAGGCCTAAAAACTGTAATACAAAGCCAGCTGACGTGGTGCTAATAGCAGCCCATACCAGGGCCGTCTGGGGCTCTTTTCTCTTCTCTTTCCAAGACGTTATGTACTTGGAAAGTTTGCCTTTGCGATGAGTATATGCGAACGAGTCGAAGGCCTGATCGCCTACAAATTGAGTACCAGGCTGAACCCAGTATATTCGAGATGCACTAGGAAACTCCCTTTCAAACACCCGCTCCTTAGTGACTTTTTCAACTAAGCAGGCGCAAAGCGCTATTCCAGTACATAGCAGGATAGTTCCGAGGAAGGTCATTGGGACCGCGTAGACGTCTTGCAAGTCGTCCCTCAAGAATTTGTAGTAGTATCTCGCAATGGCGGCCCATACAAGAACACCGGACTGTAGAATAATTCCAAATACAGATGCTACAATGTACCAATGTCGTTTTCGTTGCTTTAATCCAACATTTAGAGATAGATTCGGATTTGGAGCGAATTTCGAAGGAGATGTACTAGAATCCGACGACCCAGCGTCTCCGCTGTTAAATAGAGAAGAAAGACGTTCCTCGTCCTCGAAAGACTTTTTCAGCTCTCGCCACTCATTTCGGGACGTCTTGAGATACTCTTCGAATGAATAGATTCCGGCGCTTGGCGGTGCCTCTGGGCTTTTGTGATAAAAGTCACTCTCTGTAGCTTCTTCGTCGTGGACTATTTCTAGGAGCTTGGGGCGGCCAAAAACACGAGTGAAGCCTCCATTGTTGTACAATTCGCAGACATCACGGCTAGTAGATGAGCATAGTTCGGCTTCGGCCGTGCCAACCCCTTCCTGTGCACGTCCAATAAAAGCTCTGAGGGACGGGGTGCCGTAGACACGGATCGCGGATACAATCGTGGTAATGATACCAAGCGGCGCCGTCGCGAATATGACAATGTCCGTTGGATATAAACACTCGCTGAGGTATTGCTTGGTAGGGGCTTCTCCAAAGAGAGCAACAAGGGGAGCAAGGTCTGTAGCAAGGTTGTCGGCGAAATCAGTCCACCAGTCACTCATGGTTCGTCAGCAAATCGGTCGCTTGGGAACAATAACATTCCAATGGGAGGTCGTATGAAGGAATAGCGCAAAACACAACAGGAGAAGAGGGGAGTCCTTCTCTGATTATGTACCATTGGTGTGTTTTACCCGCAAGCAGGCACCTCGTGGTATTGTCTGGAAGGGTGGTCAGACGCTTGGGAATCAATTCTGTGGGGTCCTGGATGGGACGCTTCTCCTGTTGAGGGGTTATGATCTGCAGTGCTATCTTAAACAATTTCTCTGTCGTTCCGTGCAAGATGGATCAACTCTTCACACCATTAGACCCTGGATCCCATAGGAGGCCTGCATGGGCGGCTTGCATTAGATAAAAGGGGAATGCAACTTTCTCGATGTTAGACAAGGCTATAAGTTGAATCTTTTTCATCATCTTTGGATCAGATACTTTGTTGATAGCCAATCAGAAGGATCAGAGAAAGCAGCTGTTGGCTCTGGATGATATCTCTGTCGATTTCCAACTTTCAAATTAATGCTAGGCCTTTCAACACAGTCTGGAGAGCTCGTATAATCCGCCGGAGCATGCGACGTATATTTGCAGCTCCAATCCATACTAGCTGGATAGATTCGGTGTCAAATTATTCATAGTCATGGCTCAACTCTCACAGAGATTGTCTGCGATCACAAGCGATCGTAGAAAGATACATCGTCGCCATGTATCTCAAATTCAGTATGCTGGGTGCAGAGTCTCAAGTATGCAGCCAATTGGCTTCAACGACCGTCCACCAGGAGGGCATATGGAGCATGGATGTGGGAGTGTGACTGCGATGAGTACTAGTATTTTGAGAGTCACACGAACAGGTTCGTTCTGCAGGAGCAGCCTTCTATACTTTAGATATGTAGGTCCTGGAATTTAGTCCTCATGTGCGTCATTGTTCTATATATAGACAGGTTAGTTGCTAATGAACCTCATTGTTTGTGATTGATGTAAAGCCATACCTCTACAGTGTGATGTTGGAATGGAGTCAAGTGTCGTCGGCGAATATCAGATGTTGCTTGGATCATTAGCCGGGCCTTGCAAGGGTGGAGGTACTTGAACAGTGCATGAAAAGGGTTCGTGCTCAGTGCAACAAGGCTGGCCCCTGGGGATATCGATTTGCCGGAATAAGGGGAAATAAAAGACGTGGAAGTGACCAACTTGGGCGCAATAATTCAGCTCTGTGCCTCATTTCAGGAGGAGAAAACAACCTCTGTGGTCCCGATCAAGACCCGCTTGCATCTTGATCTGGCATTATCAGATTAAACCATTTCCAAGCACCAAGACTAGGTGCTTTACCCAAACACTTCCTAGAGAGCCTGACCGTGAATGCTATGATATTCTTCACCTAATGTCAAAGTCCATGCCCGGAAAGCCGGAAGCTTCTTGGAATTCTGGTAACATTAGGGTAAATTGTTCATGCAACATTGGATGCATAGCGCCGAGCACTTCCAAAACCAATACCTGGGGACATGTTCGAAAGCTGATTTTCTTTTTTCTTTCCCCTTCCATACATATGCTGTTGCTTATGCATCAGGCTAACACAATTATCTGAAAATTGGGAATTTCGTCATCGGGGTCCAGGAGCGGGGTTTGGGAGGCACCAACCATCCCATTCTCAATTTCATTCCCCAATATGCAGGCTTGTGTCGAGATGACGGAGGTGCTGTACGCGGAAATGCTCAACTGCCCTGAGCTTTTTGCTGATTTGTTAGAGATGCATGCACTGCCCGCATCCAATCTGTCAATTACAGACACACAGGCAAAGACTTCGCGAGCCAGATGCAACCCCACGATCAGGGGTAGAATCCAGTCAAAAAGTGGCTTGTTTGTTGCGGCGTAGACGCACTTGAGCCGTCTTGGCCGACCAACATACGGCTGTTCAAGCTTCAGATTGGCTGGCGGGTAGTTATTTTTAGGACCGGATGCTTTTCTTCAACAGTGCACAAGGAGGAGAGGACGGGTACCAGGCGGATGCAAGGAATGTTGCAACAAAGAGGAGGGGAGAAACGAAAACTCAGAGGATCGAAAAAAGCAACCAGCCAGGTCAGATTGAGTCGCGATTCCCGCTTGCTCCGGAGGCCTGGAGATGATTTGAACGGTACTTGCTAGCCGACATGATGCATAGCAAGGCAGTAGTAACCATTTAGGCAATTCTACTACAGTGGGGCAACATATCCAGTGCCTCGCAGGTTGAGATGCTGTGTGTAATGACGAATTAGATACAAGCCACGATCCTTCATCCATCGTTTTGAGCAAAACCCCTTCAAAACCCCAACCTCGGCGATTGCATATCTCATCGGTATTGATGATACTTCTCATATGTCTGGGGAGGAAACGATATACATACTTGTTATCTCGGATATCTACATTCTCCAGTCTTGCGGCTCCGATGCCTGGCCTGTTGAGAGGCATGCTACCGACACAGAGGGTCTTCGAAGGATGCATGCGCCCTGATCCTGCACCTCGGATTCTGAACATTGCAAGTTTCGTAGAACCGGATTATCACACAACGCTGAGAGTACTACTAGTATAGTATGTATGTGTGCCTGGCGGATCGTAAAAAATTGCTTTGTAAGTAGTCACAGTAACTGCAATTGTGAACTACTGCTTGAAATTCTCACATGGATGAGAACCATTACCATTTTCACAGATATATACACAATCATCCCCTCCACACCCCGCATTAAAAAGCTTAGAAGGTTCAAAGGCTCTATTTAACATCTGACGCATAGCAACTTTCACAGCGAAATAGCTACTTGGCACTTTCTGTTTATTCCACTGATTTGTTTTCCATTGAGTGGTGTCTAGTTTTGCTACTTGGGTCAGCTATTTGCCCAACTCCCATTCCTCATTCCCCATTCAAGTTATTTCATTTTATTATTTCATTGTTGTGCTTTACACACAAACATTCATGTACATACATCTCTCTTGCAGTTTGGACACCCTGGAACGACATTAGAAAAAACCCTAAAACCTAAAAAAAAAACCCTCGTCAAAAAAAAAGGGTCGTCCAAAATAGCCGAAAAGATGGTCCTAGAAAATAGAGATTTGTATAAATGAACATATATAGGATGTAATCTAATGCAAATCACGTAAATAATAACAGATGTTGAGATATATAGATAGAGATATGAAAATACAGCATGCGAAGCCAAAATAAAGCAAACATAGTCGATGGCTTAACCATAATGAAGAAAAAGATAAAAAAATAAGGAAAGACATTAAATCTGTCACTTTCACATGAGAATGGAGAGGGGCCAGGAGAGAAGGGTGTATGATCAAAATATCCCTTACTTATCCTGCCCCTTATTTAGATGGAATGGTGGTTGTGTGCGTATGCATGTGCGCGCGTACGTATACATATGTGAAACTTTTCCCATCCCAACCAAGGGGAAGGGGAATGAGTGTGCACACATACAAACGCACGTTACACACACACACATGTATCCGGAGGCAAAACACATATACATGCGGGAAATGGAGGGTGGGAGAGGGGGATAGCGTAGCATCACGTAGCGTAACGGGAGAGGCCAGCAGTAGGTATCAATCACAATCAAGAACCAAACTACCATAGTTCATTTTCATCCATTTTACCAATATTCATCCAATACACCAATCGACCCTTTATGCGTGCGCATCATGATGTCTGAATGGCTCGTACGCCATATCCCTCCCGCCCACGCCGGCGCCGCCTACAGGTGCACCACCCGCTGCAGCGGGCATGAACGGCGCTGTCGGGGCGCCGCCATACGGATCCGAAACGCGCTCGTACGTATATGGAGTCTTCTCAGCGGTAATGCCGCGGTTGCGACGGCCGCCGAAGCCACTACCGCTGTTGTTGGAGTGGCTGTAAGGTGAACGACCGGAGCAGCAGCAGACGCTGAAAAGCCAGAAGACGCCAGAGGCGAGGGAGAAGGCAACCCCCAGCCAGAGAGTTGAGAACATGGTTTTGCCCAGTGAGGCGTGGACGTCGTAGGGTTTTAGGGAAGTGTTGACGGCGGCAGTTAGAGCGGCGTACATCGCAGTAGCGGTGATGGCGGCGGCAAAAAAGAAAACGGAGGAGACCTGGGTTGCTTTTGTTAGAGTTTTGGGTGGAAGGCGGGAGAAAAGATGCCCGAGGGCGGGGAGGGAATAATTTTAAGAGGCAAATAAAAATAACATACAGAAGACACGATGGTGACAGCCAGGCTACCCCATCGACTGAAAACAGCAGCGATACCAACCAGTAACTCGACACAGGTTGCTACTAACGCCACGATGAAGGCGATGAACATCCATCCAGCAACCTTCCGGTAGGCACTGAGGCCCTTATCGAGGCTAGAAGGTAAGAACTTGTGGCCATCTTTATCCTTGACCAAATCTTCTAGATCCCATTCTTTGACGGGGTCGAACCAGTATTTGGCTTTGCGGTCGGTACATCTGATGATCTTGTACTGGCCGTTCTCATACTCGCCGTAGCAGTGGTTCCAGAGGCCAATGAGGTAGAAATCGTGTAGCTTGCCGCTGCCGTCTGCTTGTTGGAGGCTGTTGGTAAAGGGCAGGAGGTCTTGGGGAAGGCCTTTTGAATTGAGGTTCAAGTCTTTTAGGTCGGCCTGGTGGGTGATATATTAGATGGATCTAGATATACTGTACATAGATTTGGTAAACTCACCTTGACGAAGTAAATATCATTTAATGGAGCGTTGGAGCTTGTCACACCCAAACCGACAAAGATGAGACAGACGAGGGCTCCGATTGAGAGGAGGTAGGGCGTGAAGATGCACGCTATTCTACCGCCTTTGCCCATGATGACGACACACGGTGAGAAAGCGGTCGATAGATGGTTGTTCGCGAGAGACAACTAAAAACGAATGAATGAACGATCGAAGCAAGAGATGGTCGGATAGGATTGAGGAGATGAAAACGAAAGGGCGAGCGAGCGGGTGTTTTATTTGAACACGGCAGGGAAACGAGGTTAATGCGGCTGAGGCTAGGGAGCCAACACGAGGGATTGGCAGCTGGGAGCACGAGCGATCGGGAGAGGAACAGTAGCACCAGGAACAGCCACACAACTCACAAAGCAAGCTGGGGTAAACGAGTGCCCGCCGGAGAAGAGAGAGAGCGCAGAAATAAACAAAATAAGATAAAGAAAGCAAAAAGTGGTGATGGCTCTATCTCCTATATAAGAGCCCTTCCTATTCTACGAGAACTGGGAATTTCTGCCCATGCCGGCCCGCCAAGCCCCCAATGCCAGCGTCAGCCTGCGCAAAACCGCGTCCCACAATAATTCCACCGCATCAACCGCATCCACCACTCGCAACCGCCAGCGCTCCCAGCGTCCCCCACAGCCATGACAGTAGCTTATCTCCATGGCTGATCACAAAAGAAAAACAAGGCTTGCCCTGGCAAGGGATCTCCAGCTGGCAGGGTGGGAAGTGTGCGTGTATCGCATCAAAGCCGTGGCAATAGCCAAACGATTGCTTGCCAACTCGCAACAAGGAGTCGTCTCAAGCATCTCATTGGCGGGCTGGAATGGAATGTTTCTATTCTTTGACACAGCCTAAAAGCCGGCTAATGAGCACTACGCAACCAGGAGACGAGGGGAGCCAAGGACTAAGCCTGTTCGGTGTCGTTTCTGCGTGGCTGTGGGCTGTGCTCTGTGTCATGTCAGTTTGATTCTTTGAGATTATTCTTGTTCCTGAACCTGTTGGTTTTGCTTTGCGAATTCTTGTCGTCATATTGTATCGTATTTAATGGGATTTAATGACATTCTACTAGTCCACCAGGGAGCAGGGGATGGAGGGAATACGATGTTCCATCCCCCCCAGAAATCATCGCCAGCAGATACGGGGAAGGAGTTGATGAAGGAGAGACCGAGGGAGGTATTGCCAATGCGCATTTTCAACCTTGAAATTATGAAAACTAAATAATACATACCACAGCGCAAACATTACTACGCAGAGCTAGCTGGATGGGTGAGTTGACCTTCATTAGTGAGCCGTTCTATGTAAGCTTAGGATTTGCTGGGTCAGATTAGGTTTGTGTGCTATTAAAAGAAATATCAAAACAGACTAGATCTTCTCAGCATCGTTACTCGATGTAACTCGCATATTTTCAGAGTCAACGTAAGAAGAAAAATAATGTGCCGTCCTGCTCGCTCTTGGATCCTCTCACTCAGCCTTACCTCTTGCCAGTGTTGACCTTCTTCGCTGCTCAATCTTGTCCTGCCCGGCGTTCAACCCGAATCGAGTAAAATTGACCCCACTCGCTGCTGTCGTTTGACATCCATATCATTACTCGCATGTATTATTCCCACTTTTTATCTCCATCTCATGACTCCCACTTTGGTGCTGCAGGTGCCCAGCCACAGCCTCTGCCACAGCCTCTTTGTTCTCCGCCAACCAAAGCACCAGAAGCAGCTTCACTTCAGCCAAGTCAAGCCACGGAGTTGCGCGTTGAGAAAATTGAGCTGGATGACTTTTCCCTCTTCCATGCCGTTATTTTTCCTTATTTTATTCTCCTCTATTTTTTTTTATTTTTTTTTATGCTGATATAAATGATTAGATTTTTTTAGGGTTTCCAATTTCACTCACATAATCGGCATCATAAACTGACTACTAAGTTGACTAATGAGTTACTTGTTAGTTAACTAAGTATTCTCCGAAATTTCAAATAATAACTAACTTCAACCACTCAAAAAAAAAAAAAAAAAAAAAAAAAAAAAAAAGGACAAGAAAAGAAAGAAAATGTAGGAGATAAGAGTCGCAAAGTTACATTACATATCATCTCAAATTCAGAGTACATAAACATCGACTTGCACGCAGAATGATCATAAATAACATGCATGCATACCCAGAACCTTTCCCCTCTTCTAAACATGCCATCAAATCAAAACCAAAGAAAAAGGGGGGAAGAAAAAAGTCGAGATGCCTTCCATCCAGTCCTAATCCAATCAATTCTTGGAAATATTCCCGGTCCCATCAGCATGTCGCAATCTCGCATATCAGTGATCTCCCCGGGCGCCCTCATGCATCATCACCCATCGCTAAAAATAACAACGCCCCACAACAACTACTATGCAAGCACCCTGTCTCTCTAGGACTGATTGACAAGCCCAAAAGTTCTGACTTACTATGTAAGCCTCAAAGCCATCGCCCCGCTCGCGCACGCGCGCCGCTGCGGGTGGGCAAATCTGCTGCTCGATTGAGCTTAGTTAAGTTTGAGGATGAGGGATTGATGATGAAACTTCAGGCATTGTTCGAACCAGGTGGATAGACGGAATGAATTGATAGAGGAGAAGAATTGAAGGTACGCAATAGTATCCTATATTCATTCATTCATTCATTCATTTCTAATTTTCTATTATTTTTTATATGGAAAGGTTGTCGTCGGCGTTTGGTTGTTGGTCCTCAAAGGCCTCGTTGCCCGGTTCGCTCTGTACTTTTTTTTTTGCATGAGTACTAATCATCATCAGCATGAGTAATATCAATAAATAGTTAATAATGATTCTATGAACAAACTAATTTCTGAGAAGCAAATTTTTCAAACAGAAGTGTGTGTATTTGTTTTTGGTAAATTCGCATTGCATAGAGGAGCAGAAACTGTTATGGGAGCCAATTGTTGATAGAACACTCTCATACCAAGCTTTGTAGCTGAACAGATGGATGGACAGTGTTCCAGTGCAAAATGAGGTTCTTTGTGAGAACAAAAGAAGCTCACTCACATGCAATATCTTAATTCTTTCCCTTTTCTTTCTGAAGCTGGAGTCTCGAAGGAGTGTTCCAAAAAAGAAGTTTCCATTTCCATGTAATAATACATCCATTTAAACCGGAGCTCCGTACTAGTTTAACTTTCCGTTGAACGGGCTTTTTAAGAGATGCTATTATGCTGGGGCTTAATTAAGGAAAGAAGCGTTCTTCTGTCACAACCGCCTGCCCTGGTCTGGGGGAAGGTAAGCAAAGTTGGATTAATATGGGAGCCCGTGAGATACGGAGATTACTAATATTGATATTATTAACTCCTGTAAGCAGGCAGGCAATATTACCTTCAAAACCCCTGCTTGTTTTAATCCATATATTGCTTAAAAGCCCCAGAGTTATAAGTTTCTCCCTTCAGTACTACACAGATATATATATATACATATATCTCCGTAGACCACTGAGGAGGCCTCGGTAGATACGGATATAATTCAGCAAAACGTCCAGAGACAAGATCAACTTGATGCTTCTTGATGTTTGTTTCTGAGAAAGATGACATGCATCATTTCCCCATTGGGGCCTTTGTGATGAATTGTGGAAGCAGTCTGAATTCAAAGGTAGAGGTGGAAGCACCGAAGCAGGCAACCAGTGCAAGTCATCGCAGGTTCGATCTACCTACGATACTACGTGTATATAACTAGCAGCTGGCCCAATCTTCTGAGGGCCAGCGAATGATTCTGATATAATCTCGCCCCTACGTTCTACTGCCTCGATATCTTATTTTTCTATCCGAATCCCTTCCGATATGATACCGTACAACCTTATATAGCTCTATCCTCGGAAAGTCCTAAGGACCTCCCCTGTATAAGCAGCGAGATCCTCGACCCGCCGCTGAAACTGAACGGTACATGCACAGCACAGCATCAAACAATGATGAAAAATTGTGCTTCCAGCTCAATGTTTTACGGAATTTGAGTATATGAGAGTGATATAGATCGCGTATGACATAATATATTCTTTCAGATGTGACAGAACTGCTGAACTTTAGTATGACTGAATTGTAATGAAGAGCTTTTCCCACTTTTCTTCAAAATTTGCTCTTTCATTTAATGATGCAGAGCCTGTTGAAATCCAGAAGATGAGACTTTAAACTACACTCTATATCTTATAAACAGCTGAGGATTACACAGATATCAGTAATCTGTTAGCTCATGATGATTCATAGATGATGGCCAAGTGTTCTTATCTCATTCCCAGCATTATCTGAAGATAAGTTAGTAATGAATATGTTCTGAGATGAAAGAAGAATAAATATCAGAGATGTCGATGACTTGCATCATTCTGATTGAAAACACTATAGCCACTCAGACAAAATGTATATACAATGATAAGGAAGGAAATGAGAAGTGGAAACAAATGGCATATAAACAAGATAGTATCTATATACCAACACAAAAAGTTTGCAATCAGCATAGACTGTTGTCTTCCCAAACCACAGCTGGGATGATAAGAAATTCTCATTCAACAGACTTACAGCAGAGAATCTCTGGCTCCCAGTCATGCATAAAAGCTTCAAGAGTCATATATCAATAGAAAGATATGTGTGCTCATGCCCCACAATGTTTCCACACCACACAACTTCTGATGAATGGGCACTGGTTTGATGAAGTGTCTTTCCAATTCTGTCAGTTGAGCTGAATGATTCATGAATCACCTTAGACTAAGAATGGTCTATCATTGAGTCTCAATTCTCTTTTCCACAAGCCTCATCACTCTAGGAGTGTGGATTCTGCACATTTCCTCAAACTTCCATGCTTGTTGATGTCTGCTGTCATAGAGGCATACCCGAATCTAAGGTGAAATTGAATTGGAGACAGGGTCTGTCCTTTGTACTGTCATCTTTGATATTGATGATGGAGCTATCAGCTCTCACTGAGGATCCCCCGGACATCGCAGGGTATGTCAGGTGTCTGCTACACCAAATTGCAGTGGAATTTAATTGCAGTGACTCCATGGGACCAAGTTTCATTATCGGGCTTGTTAAGAGCATCACCTCACCAAATGCATGTTCTACCTCTTTGTCCTTGAAGATTAGCAGCCATCCAGTCATTCAATTTCGAGATTCTTTTCCTTTATCCATCCCCATACCCAACTTCGCCAACCACGCAGAAAATCCGGGAAATTCTTGGTGTCACCAACGGTGTATTGCCTGGTGGTATTTTCAACGTACGCGGCTTTGACCTCAGCCATTTGAGAGTCTTTGTCGTGGTTGGGCCGCGATGCGCTTTTAGTCGTTGTCAGTAAGCTTTTTGATTTCGAATAGCCATGGTTCAGCAGCGTGGTTGAGGGTTTGTCTGTGCTTCGCATTCAGCTCACGAAAGGAGCTGGTCACTTACACCAAAGGACAAATATTACTATCTTATTTTACTTGCTCGCTCGTGAAAAGCGAAGAGGCCCGGAAACGTTCTGGATGCTGCAACTTTGGATTCTGCAACTTTGGATTCTGCAACTTTGGATTCAATGAACGTGAATATTAGCTGATTGTCGAATAGTAGAATTGGTCAAAAGCTTGAGACGCTTTCTCAAACGACGAATATATTCGATCTGACAAGCACTGATATCAGCCAGGTGCATTGGGTATTCATAAACAATGCCAGTAATACAACAACGTACCTCGATTTCACCTCGACTTTTCTTTGACCCAGTAGGTCCGCTTGGGGAGAGTTTGTTAATCATTTCGACACTAGCTTTGCCTTGAGGTTTTGTTGCCTTTTGAGGACAAGTCTGGTTATTGAAGAGATCTCATGGCGATATTAGATCTACAATCGGTAATCCGCCATTTCTGGGAGTTTTGTCTGATGCAGTGTGGCTATGACGATGGCTGCGGGTTAACAAAAATGAGCAAACAAGCGTTGACCCCGCGCTCAAATGGCGATAGAATGATATCATTGATACTCTGGCATCAGTCATATCTGCAGAGGACGTTGATTTGCCCCGCTCTGCAAAGCAAATAATGTCATGAACCTTCTGTACCTTGCAGCAAACATTTTGCTGGACCTGATGCCTTGCGCTTATCTGTTTTAGGAAAGCTAAGCGACCTTCATCGACGTCACATACCGCAGCAGCCGCATTGATCCACCGCAACTTGCCTTGAGTTTGTCAAGATCCGGTAACGAGAATCGTTGATATTTGTACATGTACAACGTACGTGTACCTGGCCGTTTGCTCTCGTCCGATTGCGAGTCCCCGGATATGGCTTGGCCTGTTATCTGATATCTCAAAACCCAGTTTCAAGCTCGTTTTCTTTATTCTCTGTCGGAACCAGGCTTCCTGAAAACGGTTGCACATATTCCACTCAACGACGAATTCGACAAGGACGTCAACTGCTTTCCCGGAACACAAAGACACCGTTTCGTCTAACATATATATTTAATCCTTCCCCGCAATGCATCGGACCTATTCCATGCGCCAATCGCGCGCACCAACAGCATCCCAGCTTGAGAATCCACCCCCGCCACCCTCAACGACTAAAACGAACCGTTTGTTTGGAAGAACCAGCATTGGTGGGTAGACAACATCCTTGTATATGTCAACCATGTCTTAAATGTGTGAAAATGATACTCAGCTTGTGGAGGAATGGATTGAACATCAGTTTTCTTGCTTGATGTAAAAGTGCTAATTTCTCTCCCGTCTTGTAGGGCATGCATTTCGGAAACAAACAGCTGGGGCTTTTAGCCCTGACCTTTCCAAGAAGCTTTCTCAACTGGTGAAAATGGAGAAAAATGTGATGCGAAGTATGGAGTTAGTGGGCAGGGAGAGAATGGAGGCTGCCGTACGTCTCACAGTTCTGTCTATTATTTTGATTGACTCCATACTCATACATCGCCTAGCAACAACTGTCTGCCTGGGGAGAGTCATGCGACGATGACGTTTCGGATGTTACCGATAAATTGGGAGTTTTAATATACGAGATGGGCGAATTAGAGGATCAATTTGTAGATCGATATGACCAATACCGGGTTACAATGAAGAGCATTCGTAACATCGAAGCATCTGTACAACCAAGCAGAGACAGTATGTTATGTTTATTCTCCGTATTTACGTCGTCTTTTTGATGCTGACCAGCTTCGGACCCTCAGGGAAACAAAAAATAACGGACCAGATCGCGCATCTCAAATACAAAGAGCCCAATTCTCCTCGAATTGTAGTATTGGAGCAGGAATTAGTTCGAGCGGAGGCAGAATCTCTCGTTGCCGAGGCACAATTATCTAATATCACGCGAGAAAAGGTAAAGGCCGCATTTACATACCAATTTGACGCTCTTCGCGAACACTGCGAAAAGTTGGCTATCATAGCCGGATACGGAAAGCATCTACTTGAATTGGTTGACGACACCCCGGTTACACCAGGAGAGACTCGGAATGCCTATGACGGCTATGACGCCAGCAGAGCAATTATTCAAGACTGCGAAGATGCATTGACGCACTGGGTCTCATCCAATGCGGCTGTGAGCTCCAAGCTCTCCACCCGCTCTCGCACTCTTTCCCAACGACGCCGTAACAACATGTCGAAGACCCGTGGTGAGGGTGTGGACCTTGCTAGCCAAGACTCTCCCCTCAAGGGTGACCGTGATTCCTGGGTCCCTGCCCAACAACATCCTGATTATAATCGCCATGCGGACGACATGGACGATGAATATGAGGACGAAGACGTGGGAACGAATGGCGAAATACGGGACCGGGAGGAAGAGAAACACGTTGCTCCAGCTTGATCACAACATTTCTTCCCATGAGATATGTTATGTGGTTTGATACGTCTCGTAAATTCTAAGCGCATCGGAGTTGTCAATGGAGTTAATTTTATTCACCACTTTTCGTTCTTGTTAGTTTCCTCGGAAGAAGGTTTAATAATAGGTAATATATTTGCCGGAGCATAACGTACGATATGTTCTTAATGGTTTGTTTGTCTTGCTCATATCTCTTCTGATCTATTCTCTTCTCGATTGGTAGTTTATATTAACTTTCAATACACCATCGTAGATGTTTAATATGAAGATACATGCTGTTATTTAAACTACAAGCCTCCACTGTGGCTGCTGCCTTATCCTTCAGGGGTCATGTGACAACTCAGTCACTCTGATCGTCAGTCAGCTCACAAAGAACATCATCACAGCATCAGCATGAAGGAGTGAACAAAACTTAAGGAAAACATCTCATTATTTGGGGGAGTATACCTCCCGCAATGGCAGTCAAACTTGAAGTTCCAACAATGGATCTGCCAGGTCAATATCTCCTGCATATCATATGTCGCAAACCGCTGTGGACATCTTGCTCCAAGGGTCTTCTCTGAACACGCATTGAAGCAGATACTGAGGCACGGTGATTCAGGTGCCATTGTTGATTTCAAGTGCTGATAGTTGTGATCTAAGATCTCCAACTTTCTAAGAACCCTTTGTCCAAGCCTAATCGAAGATCTCCTAGGTTACTTCGTGAATGGTGCCTGGCAACTGGGGCTGAACACCTCATGTGGCGGTATTGCGGATGGCCTGAAATCAAGCTCAATAGCTTTATTCAAAAGTTTAGTCTTCTCCTAGGAAACAAGACAATCTCGCCGCCACCCATTGCCGAAATAGCCTGCTGAAATCCGTGGCCCATCAAGTTCCTCCAAACCCCCCAGAGTTGGAATTTCCTTTGCAACGACTAATAAAGCAGTGACACTCTGGTTAGCGTACTGCACACTTCGATCGGTCTTCTTAACTGGTAATGACGGGCCACTTTTATTCGCCTTCTCCCATCTTTTCCCATGCGCCAAACAATGCTTAACATCGCCAACTATCGATACCCATACTGTTGCCCATACCGTTTGTGTGCCTCTTCCAATCGCTGGAAAGGAACCCACATCATTGATCCTATTCGTTGGATATGATGCATTGACTCTGATGCTTGTTTCCGTTGAGCCGGATCGTCCCATGCTCGCTCGATGTGATCTACTTGTGAGTTGAGGGTAAATCGCTTCGTTGAGGAAAGAATCGTATCACCGAGAGGGGGCCATGGGAGTGACCCTGGTTGGCTTTCGTCCACATTATTGGGCATGTGAAAAAGTTTTCTGATACATCTTGATAGTTGGGCTGGTGGGGTGGCAATATCGGGATCTTTATGCATATATGAGGAAGTCAAAACGGAACGGTTAGATCATGCTTGGGTGGAACTATATCCTTAAGGAACTCCGTTTACATCGGCCCACTCGCCAATTTAAATCTTGGAATTAAATCGGTTGTCGTCGGTTATCGACAGTGGGCCGGCAGCGGCTAGTGACAACTCGGTGCACAGATGTGGTCTTTGCATCCGCCAGATCTCCCAGCCCAAACTTGAGAAAACGCGATCTGTGCAGGAATTGGTAAACTTCGTGGCCGACGTTATTTGAATGGAGTTCTTTCAGACAGACTTCTTTTGGCCATGAGGGTCCGTGAAGGCCGTTTGACTATCTACTCCGGGAATTCTGTGATAAATACCGTGTTTCGCGACCTTTGGTCTGTGTATCTATTCGCTTTCGAATTGGAGTTTTAATTGCAATTTAGCTCTGCTTCTGTGGTTTGATAGTCGATAAAATGGCTGAACAACCGTCTAATAGTCAGGACGGAAACGCGCTGGTTACCTCCCCTTACTGCGCGCATTCCCCTTCATTGAAAGGTCTTATCGTGTTCATTGTCTCGGTTGCTGCTACATTCTCAGGGTTTGCCACAAATATCTACTTCCCTGTCATTTCAACCATTGCAGTTGATTTACTAGTATCAATAGATTTGATCAACTATTCCGTTACAGCTTATCTCGTTTTCCAGGCGATCATTCCTTTCATTTGGGGTACCTTGTCAGATTATAAGGGACGCCGAATAGCATATCTATCAAGCTTCTTTATTTTTACGAGTGCGTGCGTTGGCCTCGCAAGGACCAGCAACTACCCCCAGCTTATGGTATTACGATGTCTTCAAAGCATAGGAAGTGCAAGCACCATAGTTGTCGGCACCGGCGTTCTTGGAGATATAACGACGAGAGAGGAACGGGGAGGCTATATGGGCTTCTTCCAGGCAGGGCAAATGTTACCACTGGCACTTGGACCAATCCTTGGGGGAGTATTCGCTGATACGCTTGGCTGGAGATCTATATTTTGGTTTCTCGCTATCTACTCCGGGACATTCATTTTTTTTCTTGGTCTCCTTCTCCCAGAGACTTTACGATCGTTGGTTGGAAACGGCTCTATCCAGGCCAGGGGTATCTCAAAATGCCCCCTGATGTATTTTCAGCCTCAACGAGTAGCGCAAGACTCGCGGCAAGACCCTGTGCAGACGCATCCAATGGCAATACCCAATACCGAGCAAAGCTTCAGCTTCTTTAATCCCATACGTATCCTTCTTGGCCTTGAAATCACCTTCGCCATCATCTTCGTCTCCATCTGTTACGCACTGTGGCAAATGACCCTCACCGCGCAGTCTACCCTTCTCAAACAAACTTACAATCTCAACAATACCCAGCTGGGACTAACTTATGTTGCAAACGGCGTAGGCTGCATGATAAGCACCGCATCAACAGGGCGACTCTTGGACATCGATTACAAACGCATCAAAGGCAATTACACTGGACCGGCAGCCAGCTTCCCACTGGAGCGAGCTAGGCTTCGCACTGCTTGGCTCTGGGCTGGTCTGCAAATCGCCTCCATACTTATCTTTGGCTGGACGCTGGACAAGAACGCCCATATCTCCATCCCCATCATCAGTACCCTTGTCGTAGGATGGACCACAACGTCGATCCAATGCCTGGTGTTTACGTTTTTGGTGGATGTTTATCCTGAACAGGCCGCTACGGCTGCAGCATCACTGAACCTTGTTAGGTGTCTACTTGGGGGTGGAGGAGTGGCGGCTGTGTTTCCCCTTATTCGGGTAATGGGGATTGGGTGGACGTTTACGCTTTTGATCGGGATTCTGCTTTTGGGCTTGGGCTGTTTAGTCGTGCAATTCGTATATGGATCGAGGTGGAGGCGGAAGATAATAGGGCGGGCTACAAATAATCACGTTGATGAGTTGCAGCGAGGAAATTGATAGCTAGTAATCATGATGAATTGGCCACTGTTCGAGCATTGAGTATTGACTATATATCTGGCGAATTTTCATGTTATCCCTTGATTATCATTCGTCAGATTGTATCTCAACAATGGCTGGCAGTGGCGAAAGACGCGTAGGGAGTGGTTCTTGGCTGCATGGCAGGTAGTCCTTACGAAGCGATCAATTCATAGAACATTTGTCCATCAAACATACCAGGGGAAAATGCAGCGAAAAACAAACATTTTAAATCTCGATCTAAGTTGATCAAGCAATTATTATGTCCTTACAAAAATCAAGTCTGTTGCTTGAAATTTATCAATTGAATATTGAAAACTCCAGCCCAAGTAACCGGCAAGAAAGTAGCATCATCACAAGCCGCGGGAGAAAAGGGAACGAAACCACACAATCCATGCACCATTAAATGCGACATTTCCCAATTCGGCATCTAAAAGCAGGAGAGAATCGGGACGCCAAAAAAAAAAAAAAAAAAAAAAAATGCAACGTCGACTCCGAGGCCGTAAATCATTTGACACATCAGATTCCTCGTCACAGATGAGGAATAAGCGAAGAGAGGCAAAAGTGATAAAATCGAACAGCATCCTTAAGCGAATACTCTCCTTTCGAATTTCTTCACCGCATCGCGCCATACCCCACCACCTAACTTAACTCCAGGAGCCTGTTTTTGCTGAATAATTTTGCCCAACATATCGCCAATCCGTGATTCCCCCACGCCTCCTTCATACGAACTCACAGAACCGTAAATTATGCTGGCGGAGACATCGATATCAACGTCAACATCCATGTCAAGGGTGTCAGTTCCATTATGGGTCAGACGAGGCTTAACTGTAAAGTCGATATCGATCCGCGTTCTGGCTTTGCCACTGATGTTTCCTGATCCTGATGGTGATGTTCGCTTCATTTCACTTCCAGTCGACTCAGGAGCGGTAGTTTTGGAAGAACGGCCGATAATTATGCAGCGGATCTCTAACAAAGTGGGTTCTGATGGGTTCGATTCAATGGCTTTCGCTTTTGTAATTCCACAATAATCAAGCGCGCGTATTTCGTCCCCAAGGCTAATGGCCCTGTCCCATGCTCGTGAGATGCTTGCAAGGAATTGTCTCGGGGTTATGTTTGATTGTGGAAGCTGTGAGGCACGCATGCGCAGTGCGTGGAGAACAAGAGACTTTTCAGGGGAGGGACTGCTGGTCACAGTGGGTGAGTAACTAAGGTTTATAGGCTGATATTTGTTTGTTTGAGAGGATCGTCGACTAGCTGACACCGCTGCAGATCGCTTGAGGCTGAATGTGCCAGGGTAGAAATCTACTTGGAGTTCATTGCGATATCGCATTCTCAAAGAAGGACCATACTTGGAGCTCGGTTTTAAAGAGGCTGATAAAATACTCCAGCCAGTTTGGCACTCAAGAGCATGAACAGAAACTGTTGTTACGTTTTGCATCAGCTAAAATAGAAAAAATATGCATACGTAGATGGCAATTCGTACCTTTTAGAGGCTTAACCTCCTTTACACTCCAACCCCGGCACTCTTCTCTGACTCGCTCCGCTTCACCTATCTGAGCCAAAAATTCATTTTTTAATTCCGTTCCCGCTTTAATGACGTTGTTTTTGTTTAGTAGCTCTGCCTGTGATTGTTCTAACAACACCTTTTTGGTAACAATATCTGCATCCAAAGCTGCTAGTCGTTCACGTGCTTGACGAAGTTCTTCCTGGTCACAGTTTTCCAGCTCATCGACGGCTTGTTGCAGATTCCGAGCTTCAGTTTCAAGCTTCGTGTGTTTCTCGACTAATGGGGGTACCGCACAATTTAGGATCTCCTCTTTCTTTGAAAGTACTGCGTCATCATTCTGCATATACTCAACATGACGATCGAGCCCTTCCTTTAGACCCTCCAAAAGTTTCATACGCCATTCATACCACATGGATTTGCTTAAAAGGCGAGCGTGAGCTTTAACGTTGCGAAATTGATTATCCATCAACAGCCGGATATCGGGTGGCGCCGTCACATATTCTTGGAAAAGAGGCGGATTATCTGCATAAGTTTCGGTTTCGATGGACCGGATAATTCGGCGGCCTTCTGAGATATATGACTTCAATTCACGACACGACTAGAAAATGTTAGTTCGGCAGGGCTGAACTAGGAAGCAGCACACTTACGTGTTGGTATAATTCAAGCATCGGTACTGTACACAAGCCAGCAACCACACAATCCTCGAAACTTATACCTCTGGCAGTCTCATCGTCGGTCTTTGATGTAGCCTTTTTATTGTCATTTGTCGGAGCCAACGTATGTCTTCTTTTGGTTGTGGTTAGCTCCATAAAGTGGATGTTAGTCATATTCAGGAATTCTTGGAGTTGTATTGGCTCAACCTGCCGCTGCTTTTCGTGCTTAGCAAAACCCTCCTGGTTGGCTTCTGGACTAAGACCAGAATCTTGGGTGGTATGGTCTTCACCAACGGGCAAATCTAACTGCCTAGAAAGAAGAGCTCTCTTGGGTGTTGTACTCCCGGGATGGCCTGGAGACGACCCACGGCCATTATAGCTTGTTGCTCTGATGGTTCGTCTAACTGTTTCATCCATCGAAGGAGGGGCAGGAAGTTTTATGCTTTTGACGGGACTTGCATCGCGGCCCTTAAGCCGCTTCGGAGTATACTCTTCATAGTCTTCATCATCCTGATCTAGTTCCACCGGGCGCTTCCCAAGTAGGCCTACCGCTGCGCCAACATGTAAACTTTTCCGTCCCTTGGCTTTATTCTTCTTAGGGGTAAGGCTCGATATTAACTCTTTCAAGTTAAGAGTCGGGTCTTTCTCATTTTGAGAGCTGTTGGGTGCCTTAGTGATGGCGGTCTCCTTGTTCCTTTCTTCTCGTTCCTCATCAACTTCATCCTCGAGGTCCCGGGGGTCATCAAATTGTACTCCTCGAGAAATTTGGCCCTGTGGGATAAAATTCTGGGAGTCCTCCCCTATGGATCGTCGTCTATCCAAAATTTCTGCAACACGAGGTGACCCTAGACCTACCCTATCGATACCAAGGCCGCTCGATTGAGGCCTATGAGGGGCCAAGACGAAGGATGGAGTAGACCGGCCAGTTACGATGTCCTGATGGAAAAGCACTCTTGAACTAGGCGGTGTTTTCTTCGTGGACGCCTGCTGAAATTCAGGCACGAACAGTTTTTTAGGAGAAACGTTTCGGAAAGCGACTTTGCTCGAGGGTGGTGTTCTTCCAGGAGTCGGAGCCCTACTCTCTCGTGGAGTCATATGTTTTTTGGGTGGGGTCTCTACATTTTTGATTGGCGATGAGTGCCTAGAGCCCCGTCTCGGAGTAGTAGATTCTCTTGGACCCCCACTCCTTCGTTCTTGCCTTCGTTTGACACTAGCTACAGTCGGGCTGCCAGACTCAGACACCATCGGTGTGTTCTGTTCGACGGTACCAGCTATTTTTGGTGGCGATGGGATGATATTCTCTTGAAATGGCGAGCTAGCAATCTGGCTTTCTAATTCCATCAATACCTCTCCCTGAGTCTTGTTAAAATTGAACTGAGGTGGTAAGATGCTCCCTAAAGCATTCGTCATCTCCATCCCCATGGTTTCGTCGTCCTCTAGGGGCTCCGTTTGTTCCTCGATGGGTGGCAGAATGCCTCCTACCGCGCTTGTCATCTCCATCTCTTCACCACCGGATTCCTGGTCAAGCTCTTCAATTCCATATTCTGTGGGCTCGTTGGAGGGGTGCGTGTATTCTTCGGAGGCTGTCCGATGGGCATAGGCCTGCTGGATGCTACCAAGAGCCGAGGTGAATTCCATCGTCATCTCTTCATCACTGGCAATATCGCTATCTCCGAAGAAGTCCTTTTGTGGAGAATGACTATGAGCGATGCCACCCACCATGTTCGTAAACTCCATCGTTTGGTCCTCGAGATTTGACAACTCGCCTGTTGATATCGGGGGTTGCGTATTTAGATTCCCACCATTTGGAGAAGCAGACTTACGGCGGGGCGTTTTACCTTGTGAGGCTTCCTGTCGCCGTGAAATTATTCCTCCAACAGCTTTGGTTATATCCATGCTCATATCTGCTTCACTTTCATCGTAATATCCACCATCAGATTGCCTACTTGGAGGCTGATACTGGGATAATGGCTGAGCAAAAGGGTTAACATTTTCTTGGTCCTGTCGAGCACTCAAGTCTTCCAGGTCAAAGTCAAGTTTATTAGCCCCCTTTTTAACCCAGGGTTGGAAGGCACCTGCAATTTCATGGTTCGTGAATTCCATGGACAAGTCACCATTCTCATCGTAGTCAATACCTTTGGTGCCAGCTAACTGGGCAGCCTGTCGCAAAGACCGCTCCAGTTTCGCGCTAGAGTTGGTGCTTGAAGCATCAGAATGTGTAGAGATAGATCGTTCAGTAATATTCTCCATGGTCATAACTGTGGCGCCATCATCATCATCCTCATCATCGGTGTCGGAGTTGGAATCTATATTCTCGTCCACAACGGGTTCACTAGCCTCTTCGCTTCCACCAGCTGAACTTCCGCTATATGGACTCGAAGAAAATGCCTCGTCAGGGTCGGGGCCGTACGGACTCTGCTGTTGGCCACGCCCATTATAAATGTGATTCAGCTCGTGATTCTGGGTGGGTGGCACCTGCTCCGTCAGAGCAGAGGCGCGTCTGGTAGAATTCGAGGCGGAAGAAGTGGTGGAATCTTCAGCCAATTCAACTACATTCCAAGTATGTAGAGTAGCTTCTGGCGCAAATGATACACGACGATTTGCTTTAATGGTGTTAGTCCAGATACTACTGTTTGGAGGAGAATACCACACCTACCCATCGATTTTCGCCTTGCCGCCCTGTGGTCCAAAATGGCCTGTCTCTCACGCTCTCGCTCCGCCTCTTCCGTTTCCCTAGCTGCAGCTACTTGTTCCTCCCCTGTGCAAACCGCAACTTTGCTATTGTTGAGAACAGCCGAAGGATTAAAAGTATCAAATGGGTTGGCCAAATTATCTGTCTCAGCAACAGAGGCTGAGGGGGGTTCAGAAACATCAATAAGAGGCTCACTCTTTTCATTCGGGTTATTTGATTGACGACGTTTAGAGCCACGTTGGGAATCACGAGTCGGAGTTCTTTTGCGCGTTTCGTCAAAAGTTGGAATATTTCGTATTGGGGAGACGGGTATCGTTGGTTTCAGAATGGATTTTAAGGGGTATTGAGTGGTTGACTGGCAAAGGAATTAGCATTCCAAAACGATTGTGAACTAGAAATATCCGAAATCAATGAATACCTTTCGTCTGTTGCCATTTGCATGCTGGAGCGCATCCAACCCGCCGGGCCCGAGACTTTTGCTCCGCATCTTTTTATCCGGTCTCGTGGCTCTCAGAGACAAATTGCTCTGCTCGTTGACAGTTCTGAGATTCGTTGTCATATTCTCCTTATCGATGTCAGATCCACTCCCAGAACGAGGCATTTGGGCGAAAGACCGTCGAGATCTCACACGGGCAACCTCCGCAGAGTCATGTTTCGGTGGTGCCATATTTTGCGGTCAGTAGGAATACATGTAAGAATACACGGCGCAGCAGAAGCGAAATTGATAGTCTAGCAGGCTGATAAATATGGATTGACGTCCACCATTTCCCACAATTTCCCACACAGCCAGCCCGAAGAATTGTCGTCTTGTGAATTACAGCTCACCGAGGAGCCGCCGAAGTCCAAGTCGCGCCCGCGTCATGGAAAGGCTACCGAATCGGGACTAGTGCAGTAAACAAACCGAGAAGCCCTAGCCGAGTTACACTAATACATATTCGAACTAGCGCGGCTCTGGTCCTCCCACACTCAGTTCGGCGTCTTCAAACTCCGCACAAAACTGGTCAATCTCGACGACGACATCGCCAACGACCACTCGAAACGCCTCGCGTCAGGAAATACACCAACCCTCTTCCAGAACCCCGTCCCGCGAGTCCAGTGTCGGATTTCTTGATCTTTTCGCAATCATGGCGACTGAGTTGACCGTCCAGTCGGAACGCGCTTTCCAAAAGCAGCCGCACATCTTCCTCAACTCCAAGCAAAAGTCCAAGAGCAAGAAGGTCGGGAAGGGAGGCCGGAGATGGTATAAGGACGTTGGTCTGGGTTTCCGTACCCCAAAGACTGCCATTGAGGGAAGCTATATCGGTACGGAACCTGTTTCCGCTGCGTTTCTTTTTGATATATGGCCCGCACCAGCTGGGCTGGCACAACCCTTGAGATGTTTGAAATTTCTGTTGGATTCATGAAATTGAGGCAGCATGGGGGAAGAGAATGGACGGTTTCACGGAATCTTGGTTGGAGTTTTTTGGTCATTTTTATTTGATTCCAAACCCGTCAAGATACTGTGTTTCTAGCCATTTCTGTCCCAATTCGAACAGAACCCTATGTTTTTTTGAAACGATAACAATCGATCCTATCTCTAACTCAGTACAATCAACCGCAGATAAGAAGTGCCCTTTCACCGGTCAGGTTTCAATTAGAGGCCGCATTCTCACTGGTACCGTCGTCTCAACGAAGATGCACCGAACTATCATCATCCGTCGCGAATACCTCCACTACATCCCCAAGTACTCCCGATATGAAAAGAGACACAAGAACATTGCCGCCCACGTTTCCCCAGCCTTCCGTGTTGAGGAAGGTGACCAAGTTACTGTTGGACAGTGCAGACCTCTGAGCAAAACTGTATGTGTTGGACTTAAACATATTACCTTATGCTACTCCCGGGATATTTTGGCGGGATTGCAATTTTCTTTTTTTTCTGCGCACAATTTTGGATATTGTATTGTCCTCGGACATGGAAACGTTTATGCTAACCAATGTCTTTCTAGGTCCGATTCAATGTCCTCCGCGTCCTTCCCCGTACTGGTAAGGCCGTAAAGCAATTCGGAAAGTTCTAAATCTTCGCTGTTTTGGCGCTGTTATGGGCGGGGTGAAGCTATGGAGGCACGGGACTGGGTTGTACGAGGAGACAAATGACAAACGAACCTGCCTTGATGTAACGGGACCTTGTGTTATCAAAAATAAACGTTAAAATGATAGAAACGACAGGCACAAGGACAAAAGGAAGATGGAAAATGGAGTGCGCAAAATCAAAGACGCAGCTCACGTCTTTTTAATCCATTTTTTGAGAGGGGTGGCTTGTGCATAATTCTCCCTAGTGCATTTCTTTTTCGTTTTGATTTCTCCCTTATGGAGCAGGGTTATATTCCAATATTAAGGAGTTAGTTGTCAAATCCCGAAAAGAACAGAAACAAAAAAAAAAAAAACAAAACAAAACGCTAAGTAATTAAATCAGATCGTGTCCGCTCAAATCCCTAATATAAACTTCCCTATCAAAAATCTCATACTAGGATCACAAATACACATTTTGATCAGGTTGCAAAATCATCAATTCCATCCCATCATCCGATTATCCGCTCCTGGTCCAACTCAAAGGTGTATATCGCGGTCTCATCGTCCATGTCAATTTCCATTAATTCCCACCGATACGTCGTCCCCACTCGCTCCGCGAACGTGATCGCTGGAGCAACCTCGCTTTCCGATTCAATCGCGTGGCGAAGCTCATCCTGCAAACGGTCCAGTGAGTCCTCCTCCTCCTCCTCCTCCTCCTCCTCGTCGTCGTCGTCGTCATCGTCATCATCATCATCGTTTTCTTCTTGATCGATTATTTGATGACCAATGTCGTGATTTTTTGCTTCCGCTATTGCCATTCCCTTCTCCACTACCACAACATCCATTTCATCTGCTTCACTATCCTCCACTATCACCACCTCTACCACTTCATCCTCGTCATCCTCAATGACCACCACCTCTTGCCTGTGGTCGTCGTAAACCTCGACATCAGTGTCCTCGTTGATTACAATAACCTCTTGCTTCTTTGTGGGTTCCTCAGGCATCATCGGTGATGTTGCAATGGTGGGTGTGTTATCCAATTGTGCTGACCCATATCCAAGACGAACGCCCTCAAGAAAGCCATCACAGCTATCATGCTTAGCTGTACGGGTGAAACGCCAGCCATAGGCAATTTTCATTGCAACTTGTTCAGTATATTCAACAGGCAGGCCGATGCCTCTGAGGAATTTGCCAACAGTCTCACCAGCAGCTTTATCGAACTTTGTAGAACTATTCCTGAGCTTTCGATGGAGTGGCTTGCGGTTGTATTTAAAAGACTTTATATCCTGAATTTGGAGAAGAGAGCCAATGTCGTGGTGCATCTCAGCAATAGCAAGAAGTTCCGACTCAGTTATGGTACAGACAATGCATGATTCAGGAATCTCTTTCCAAATAAGCCATTCTGACCATCCAGAATATCCAGGTGTAATATCAGAAGACAAGGGGTCTTTTCTCAGAATATTTTCCGCGGAAAATATCCCATTTTGGTCCAGCTTTGAGGCATCAACTATTGAGACCCCTGAATTCTGACTTCTCGTCAGCATTCTGTGTACACAAGGAAGCAGGGCTGAAAATGTCGAGATAAATGGGGAGTTGACTTCAACTCTTGACAGGTGTGTTTTCGCCATCGCTTCGATATCATGTTGATTGTAGAGTGAGTGGTGTAGAGTATTCGCCAGTCCACAAGCGAAATATTTGGGGGTATTAATCCCAATACTTTGCGAGTTAAAGAAGCGATATAAAATTTGTGGTGTCTTAGCTCCACCGTACCCTAGCTTTATGCTTGTCCTAGGGAGCCTTGCTACCAAGGAGTGTCCAGGTTCAGTAACCGGTTCAGGTTCTTCAAGTGACTCGCGGGGATTGACGTTTTCATCAGAATTTGGGTTAACCTGGCCATCATCGAAGGATCGTTGACGTAGATATATGCCCAGCTCCATTGAGGCCAGCTCAATGATCCGACGGCATTCCTTGTATTCGTTATCAGAAAGAGATGTCAAGTTCACAGATACCCAAATTGGATGATTTTTGATCATCATATGATGGCATTGTGTATTGACGGTGGTAACAGGGAGGCCATTTTCGAAATCCTCAATTTCAGGTTCAAATATGTGATTAAAGATTTCGGCTTCATCTTTCTTTTCAAGAGCATAAAATTGTCTAAGAACACACAACACCACTCGCTGTTGATCTGTCCACTTATGCCTCGGGGTTTTAATCCTTCCAAAATCTAGGAAAGATGGGTATTTCTCAACGCTGTCCATATTTGACTTGGAGAGGGACTGAGGACTTCTCCACAAAGACAAAGAGAATAAACAGACAGCAGATATGGAGGAAGATTTTAGGGAGGATATGATGAAGATCGCAACTGTTCAAAATCAACGCAGAAGCTCAGGTTGAGTAGAATGCGGAAAGGTATTCTTAAGGGGCTGTCGAACCCTGGCCTCAAAGAACACGCTCAGCAAATGGGTCGGTGAAGCGGAGAGGCAACTCCGTTTGCTTTTCGATGAAGCTCCACAACACAACGCGACAACGACATGAGCGCGTCGTTGTGGCATATCACGTAGTGAATGATGATGGTCTCTGGGCCTGGGGGTGACCTGGCGCTGTAGGGGTTTTCGATGAACATTGTATATTGTGGAAACACAACGGCAGTGTCAGATTTGTAGGGAGGAAGACAGTGCAAGAATTAGAGATCAAGAGCTTCAGCTGTTTGATGGCTTCTGGCTTTCAAAAGAATAGAAGGAGAATAAGGCTCGGACCACCTTAGAGGAATGGTAGTGATGAAAATAGAGGAGCATCCATGAGCTTAGGTCATGAATATGAGGAAGAGCACTACTAGATCCCAGCATCATTCCATGGAAAAGATCCTCAACTTGTGGCTCTATTCAGAACCTAGAGGTATTATCATGCTTGCTATGAAAGGAAGAAGAGTTGACCTGGGGATAAATGAGTCCCAACACGTGATCTCGCAACCTCCTACATCAGCGGATTGTCAAACATTCGTCATTTAATATTGCTCTCCTCATTTAATATTGTTCCAAAACGGCTCAAATCACACCATGGAGAACTTCCAAGCAGTCAAATACCTCGAATCTCTACTGGGAAAAACACTCAGGATTCACACAACGGACGCAAGGCTATTTGTGGGCACTTTCAAATGCACAGACAATGTAAGGTCACCTGGGGAAAATTCCCCGCGACGAACCAAATACTTTTCCCGTACAGAAATAATTAATTAAACGAGCCAATACCCCAAATAAATAGATATCTAACGCATATCAATCCCCCAGCAGGATCGAAACATAATCCTATCCACAACCCACGAATACCGCTACCCCACTATCCCAGAACATGAACCTGCGAATCCCACCAGAGAGGACGATTATACAGCTACGGGAGTCGTCAAGGCTGATATGGCTAGTCGCTACATCGGCCTAGTAGTCGTCCCCGGTCATTATATCACCAAAATCGAGCTGGATGAATATTCCGAAAAAAAAACGGGAATTCCCAGGCGCAACAGGCTTGAGGATGCTGGTCAGCATACGCGGGGTCAAAAGCCAGACGTGAAATAATTCAACCATAAAACACCTGGTTCAGAACAAAGAAACCAACCATCTGTGTAAATATCACGGATAGAAATCCCACGTATAAAGAGATATCCCACGCTGTCGCGTGTTGATTCTCCTCCTCCGCACATATCTGTTTCCTCGGCGAATTCCGCACATGTTCCGCCGTGCAAAAGTCCAGGCGAAGAGCGACGGAAGTGTGGGGTCAGAGTTTGATATCAGTCCCAAACCCCTTTATATGCATACTCGCCTTGCATGTCATACGTTCGGTCCAAGGCTGTTCCCGTTTCCGTACCCATTCCTGCGGGGCCTCCTTTCCTCCGCGTCTCCGTCTCCTAGGCTGGATGTATAACCACAGTACCCGCCGCCGCGAAAATTTGTGAAACGTGAATAGTTTCTCTATATCTGGGTTGATTGGCCCATGCACCCCTTCTCGGCTCGAGTCGGATAGAGCTGAGTTGATGAGTGGATCGGGCACCCAACTGCTTCCGGATTCATGTAGAAATGTCATTGTGTCGACAGGGGTGTTACACTGTTGGGAAATTGTTTCATGGCTCGACCTGTTTCGTGACGAATGCCTGCGGCCATTTTCCGGTTGCGTTTGTTATTAGGGGGTGTTTATCTCCAAGTGTTGTGTTTGTGGCGTTCGACATGACCTCTTTGGTATGAGTGTGAGAGACTCGATTACATATCCGTATTTTGTACCCAATGTTTTGTATATGCATATCTAAGAGCGGAAAATAAATGTGCCATATGACTTTAGTAAACAAGGGGAACATGCAGTGTCGAAACATACCGTCGAAGGTATCGTTTCAATCTGTAAAGACTTGCATAAAACGGACAAAATTTACCAAAGAAAAGAAAAGAAGATGCACCTGGCTTACAGAGGTAAAGGAAACTTCTTAAACACACATGGGTAGGAAACAAAACAGAATAAAGTAAGTGAAATTTGTGAAACAACGCCTGAATAACCTTGGCGCAGCAAGTGCGGACGGGCTTCTGGTTAATTGCCTACATGCGTATGTATGTACAATTTTTTTTTTTTTTTTTGAGAGGTGGGGGTCCAAAAGGGGTAGGGAGAATGTGGGGACAGTTGTGGTAATACTATGGCCGGATAGGAAGAAAATTTCCTACACACTGTCACATCAGGGAATTTCCTTCGCCATTCGCTGTTGCTGGCAACAAACAAAGGTCTCATCCTTGGGGTTTTCCAACTTGGGGAGTACGTTGGTCACGATTAAGTACAATTGAGGAGCAATGGACGAAAGACCGACGACAAACAGAGACAGCTAGGACTGAGAGCGGAACTTGCTGGTTTCATAAACAACAAACCATACCCATTTTCAACGTACATGGTATTTTGCCTTGTTTGAAGCTGAACATGAGAACACAACATAAATAAAATAAAGGGTATAGGAGCGACAAGATCAAAGGGTGAAATGGCATTGTCGACATATGGGTAAAGAGGAAAAGCGGAAGGGAGAGAAAACACACTAGCCCTTTTAAAAGAAAAGAAAAATACATGGTTGGCTTTCGGAAGTAAGACGTATCAAATTCGACCAAAAGAAGAGTAAAAGGTATACCTGAAAAGAAAATGGGTGTAAAGCAAGATATTGATATAAAAAAAGGGTTCCAGGGACCGCAGTTTGAACAAGAGGTTTTGAACGAATGAAACGAATGCAAGGCAAGCAAGATAAAAAAGAATACATCCCAAAATATCCTCCAAACACTGGTGACAAAAAAATAACATGGCACACTAAAACTTCGTGCCCCATCCTGAGCCGGACGGAAACAGCGGCAAACGAGTTCTATGCCCCCTGGTTAGTTCCTTCGGGCGGGCTGATTGGCAACTGAGTTCTGTGCGTACAACTGCCCCGCGAATGAGGTGGTGGGATTACCGCCCTGGGAACGGAGTGCTGTGAGAGCGACCTCTGCAGCATCCTCTTTGGCATTGTTGGTGTTCTGGCCGTCATAGAAATAGCGGGCAGCGAAGCATCTGCCCTGAATTGTGACGGTGCTAGACCATGCCGTACGGCCGCCTGGTGAATAAGGAAACATAGAAATGAAAAGGTCAGTAGCTGATTATTGACTTTTAGAGATGCCGCATATAATTTGTTGTATTCGTGTTTTCCCTTGACTCTTTTGCTTCTCGTTTTATTGAAGTCGGGGAAATTGGACATTGAGAAATGTTATAAAAATAAATTCCCGAAAAACCCACGGTGTAGCGCAATTTTTTTTTTCTCTTAGATAAAAGATTTCTAGAGGCAAGGAATAGTAAGGGGAACTACCTCGACGGTCTGACATAAGATTGAAAACTGGGGCCTGAATTTGGGTTATCCTGCAGTGTTCTTCAGAGGATTTTAGTACTTGGCAATACGGGACTTTCCATTTTCAAGGACGTCTCGGACCTTGAAGTTTCTCCTGCCATGTAATACGTTGAACGCCATTGGTGCGGGGAGCAGAATTGGCGGTGGTAAGGCTAGCCATAACTGAATTCTTGTCTCTGAAAAGAGGGTATGGAGGTAGCAGGGAAATCCCTCACTATAAAATATGATAATGACGGTAAGTGATAACGTAGAGGCTTGAGAGATTGAATAGAACAAGCACAAGCAGAAGGAAAGTGTACCAATTTGAAGAATAAACAAATATTATAATATATTTGATTGGAGTGAAGCAAAAGGTGTTTTCTAAACAGGAAGAGAAAAAAATTTTTATTGTCGAAGAGTGAGCGAGGAGAATTGAGATTCATAATATAGAGAAATGCATGCGGAGAGGAATGATGGCAAACCACATCAACGAACTCCTATAAAGTTCATTTTTTACTGCAGGCGCCGTGATGGAGCCTAACCAGTCAGTCCGGATAGGATAGACTTATGCAAGATTGAGTCAAGGTGACGGGTGTTTTCAGTTAACTTCCACATCTTCCATCCCACACACCTCTGGCAATCATCAAGCCAAGTTGAGTGACATGGAGAGACGCCATTGATCCTAGGGGGAGGCTGATGGAACGGCCCGCTCCCTGCACTTTCCATTCGATTCCGGATTGAACTTCAGGAACTAGGCGGCTGCTTAACTTATGCGCGCCGGCGATAGAGCAAAGCAGCTCTCCCAAAGGGGAGATGCTAAATGACGGGGATTTGTAAGTGGACTGGCAGATGGACAACAAGCCAGACCTCTCCAAACCCAAGATATGAAGCTATGAGGAGGGGCTTTCCGAATGCACCAAAGCCCGGGTTGTCATGGGTGCGCTTGAAATAGCTAGGGATGGGGCTTCTCAGCTCCGTTCACGCGTTGTAAAGGGGATAGTATCGAACACACGAATATTGCTGTTCTTGAAAGAGACTGGCTGCTAAATCAGATGGTTGGGCAGCGCCAGTCAATCGACGAACCCAGCAAAGACCTGCCAGCTCATCAAAAAATCAAAATTAGAGAAGATGAGCCCTTCAAGGGCACGACCACCGGAGGAAATGGTGAGGCAGGAAAGTGCCGAAGGAGGGATGGTAAGGTGGCCAAAAAAAAAAAAAAGAAAAAGAAAAAGAAAAAGGCTCAACTCCAACCGAGATGGCAGACTGGCGGACTTGTCTGTGAGGGAATAAAAATTCTACCAGGGCTTCAATTCTCCAGCGCCTGCCTGCTGGACGGATATGGAATGGAAACTGAGGAAAAATTGAACAGTGTAAGTCTCTCGATGGAGGGGTAGTTAGGTATATTGTGGGTATTTGCAGGAGAAGGTCAAATAACGGGGATTTAACGTGCTTTCCAGCAAGGCCGACGTGCAGCAAAAATGCGGCACCAGATGGCGGGGGTTGGGATGGAGATGAGCCCATTGCCCGCTGTCGATGGCCTCCATGACCGTTCCGGGCTTTCTTGCAGCCATGATTCGCTGCTTTCTTTTCTCTCTCGCTGGAGTGGAGGTTGGGCACTCATACTTGCATTGTCAGCACGACACCCCACAGAGAACGCGCAAAAATGGAGATGATTGATGGAAGTGGCTCCAGAGGAGAAAGAGAGGAAAACCATGAATTCATAGAAGTTGTATGGGGCTAGATTGTGGGGTGAGGCTAGAGCTAATGTTGAAGCGTACAAAATTCGAGATTTGGTGATCAAAATAATAGTAGCCTTGATTGAGAAAGGCGAATATTGAAATTTTCAACGCGGATACTGTAGGACGCTTTGTGAATAGCTTCAATGTTCCTCCATAGCCTTTCCAAATTATTGACAGCCCATAATGATTTGCTAGGATTCTTATTATATCCACTTAAAAAGATATATTCAAAATAGGAGCGAATAATTACAAAATTCGTTGCAATATGCAAGTATATAGACACAGCTCAAGCTACCTCCATAAATAGGACAAACAATCCGCATGAACTTCGTAAAAAGAAAACATAGAATTCCAGCCATGTTTCATCATAAAAGGGGCCTGTTCATCTTCAAATGCTGCCCATTCCAGCGATCCCGGCAGCTCCTGGCGCCTTTGGTCCAGCACATGGGCTTGGATATGCGCCGTACAGTGTCCTTGGCCCCTTGTTAACGCCGTCTGTCTGCGCTGGACAATGATCGTAGCCTGCACACTAAATGGATTTGCAAGGGAAAAAAGAAAAAGAAAAAGAAAAGTGATGGTTTGCAGGAAATGCGCCATTCCACGTACATGAACCTAGCCTCATCAATATACCACAGGGAGCCTTTCCTAACCAGACAACGGGGAACAAACCGGCCTTGATTTGCTCGACTCCATCATGGCCAAAAATCTCACTTCTGGGTGTAAATAGGGAACTTCATGATGGGCTGGCACCAAGCTAAGAGCTCCACGTCAATAATCATATAAAAAGAAAAAAAAAATCGACTCATAACAAATACATGAGAAAAGATAATACAGCAATGAATACAATGGTGGTATCAATAAAAATCTTCATATAGCTCGAAGAGAGATTTTTTCCCCTTAAGCATGAGCAAACATCTGGCGGAATGAGTTGTGTCGAGATCCAGTCGAGCCACGACGGTGGAAAACCTTCTCAATAATTTTGTTAGATGCCACGGAGTCCACACTCCTCATAAATGATGAAGTCATGGGACTGTAGGAATGGGTTGTCTTGCTGTTCCAATGGCGCTTGATGCTGTCGTCCACCAATGCAATGAGACCAGTGGCAACGATGGCACTATCATACGTCAGGTAATCTTATCTCAGGAAGCTGTTGAATTGACCAGAAAAAACTACTTACTCAGCAACATCTTTCATACTTTCATATAAGGAAGCGTCGCTGATCCACAGAGAGCAGGGCGGAACCCAGCCGCCTTTGCTCCTTTCTTCCAGAGCTTCAAGTGGAGTCAGAGGCTCTGTTAAAATGTGCGCAACTGGCTTTGACTTCGCTGCAGGATAGAGGTCAAACGAGATTTCCTTAGAATCTCCGTCCTTTCGTGTGGTTTTCTTCCATTGATATCTCGTGCTCCAATATTCGAAATCGTAATGTTTGGAGCCCGTGGTGCCTCTTCGTTTAACGTCGACATGTGCATAATTGGAGAATTCGAGTTGGATAATATTTGTCGGCTCGGGGCCTCTGGAGCGGGATAGGGATTCCGTGGAACATCTCCTGCGATTGCCATTCTCAGGACACTCCGTCCCCTGCTTGTTATACCCTGAGTTCTGCCTCCACGGCCCGTTAGTTGTGAGGTGGGTTGAATCTGATTTGGAACGTAGAGTGGAGAAAGCGCTCGTCAATGGTCGTTGCAGAGCACCGAGCATTTCCGCAGATGGGTAATGGAACTTCCTGACCGAATGGCAGACCTCTCTTCCAGAATCCCTGCAATACCGCCGAAGCGAGAATTTCCTGTTTCGCAAATCGTGCATGCGAAGATGAAAGAGTATTATGGTACATTGACGCCCTCCTGGCTGCACCGCAGTGGTGTCGATACGTAGGTTCATGTTTCCATCGATCGTAGTATCATCGTGCCTTATAAGTAGCCGCCTTGCAGATGGGAACAACTCTCCAAAAGTTGGTGGAGAGGAGGGGATAGGATTTGATGGGAAATCCTCATATCTATCCGCTACAAGTTCGATTGGTGGCTGATTGTTTGTGTCCTCTTCCACTTCTGACAATATTGTGGACGCATATGTTTCTGTTGATTCTCTCCCATCAACTCCATGTTCCGGGTTGGCTTTTTCGAGAGTAATCAAAACGGGTTGATGGCTGGAAGCGGTTCGATAAGTGCTTCGAGAGTGATTAGATCCGTCACTAGACACAAAGGTGGCAACACTATCAGTCCTCGTCGTCGCAGGGTCTTGAGGCATTCTCAAGATCGTTTCCATGTTGAAAAGGGCCGAGCATATAAGTTGAAGTCCAACTGCGCAGAGACGTTTTCCAAGAGCACGAAAAACCAAGGCGACAAAGGAAAAACAATTGAAGGATAACTCAAAAAAAAAGAAAAAAACCAAACTCAAACTCCAGAAACTATAGTTGACAGGTGCATCGTGGAAAGGGACAAAAACCTGAACAATACCAAAGAATCGAGAGGACCGTGACACAGCGGGGGCTTTTATTGCTTATCCTTAACATCAGACGGAAACGAGGTGGGGGAAGTTGCATGACCTTGGGCTGTCAACACTCCGTCGTAGATTAATGCGGCCGCGGGGTTGCCAGCCATACCGCAATCACGGCACAGTGGTAGAGTGGTTAATACGTGAGACTCGAATTCGCCAAATGTGGTTAGTCTGCATTGGCCAAGCTTAGACCATCTCATGCCTTCGGGCGCGTAGGTTCGAATCCTGCCTGTGTCGAATTTTTTTCTTTTATCTGTCGTATTATTCTATATTTGAATCAACCTTATTGACTGAACCTGCGCTTCCATGTAATGGTGGAGACACGTTTTTGGGAACATGGCTTCCAAGCAGTGGGATGGAAAGCAACCGGAGCTCGCTGGCGTTGGCTTCTTTTCGCAGGTTGTCAAAATAATAAGAGATACAAGCCTTGTGGTGAAGAAGCAAGCAACCCCTGATCCAGTCGTCGAAAGCCTGCTGCCAAATGAGAAATCTCATCAATATACAAACCTGCCGGGCGCCATTCCTATTTCGCTACGGCAGAATACCATAGCCAGAAGTATCAGGGGTGGGCTCCTGTTTGTGTTTTGTCCATGAAGCCTGATGTCCAATGTCCTTCCACTGTCGCATTGCCCTAAACAGCAAACCAAGTTAGTAGTGTTTTTTTGATCGTTTAATTATCTCTTCTGCTTTGCTGGCTGTGATTTTGGCTGGAGGAGATGGCCAATCCAAATCACCGAAGCACTACAGCATATGCATTCGAACGATGTGATCCATGGAGATACTGGATGCCCTAACATTCTGATTCAACAAAATGGATCCCCGCCGTGGCCAATTTCAGCGGTTCTGCCATTGATGGCTCAATGGCTCAAGTTGGGTATGCGGCTCGCATACAATGTCCGCAATCCTTATCAGAAAACCTTGGTCCGGTTTCAGTAAAACAGGATCTTTTCGCTCTCGGCACTGTGCCATATGAAACCAGCATTGGCGCCAAAATATTTCCAAATATAACAAGCAGAGGAATTGAAAAACGATTCGGACATCGCGAATATCACGATATGGGTGTTTTTCCTCAATTTAACGTTCGACAGGTAATTCCAAAGTGATGGGACTCTGGGTATGAAAATGCAGAGAAACTGAGTACTAGATGTAGTTGTTGAATGGAGCCAGTGACTCCCGCAACTGAAATCCCAACCAAACAATCGAAGCAACATCAGCTTAGGGGATGGATAGTCCGTCGCTGGGAAAACTTTCCCTGAAATAAGTTCCCAATTTGCCAGCAATGTTCATCATGTACTGTAGCATACATACTACATATAGCTAGTCATAGCAGGAAGTCTCTAGTTGTCCAACCAGGACCAAAGTAGGTACGAAACGGACTCGCAGAACTCCAGCAAATAAAAGAAATGTTACTTATCCTGATGGGATTGAGCAGCCTGCTTACCCTATGTTTAAGGCATCGGAGCCCGTCGATAAATGATAAATGTTCACATTTGCATGCAACTTACTGTCTCAATATTTTGATCATGACTCTGGCACGCGCCCAATTGTAAATCCAACTCATTTCGACTTGTTTTCTCTCTCTCTCTTTTTTTTCTTTCGAAAATACAGGAACCTAATTAGATGTTTATGGCGTTGAATGGACAAACGCTTTGAATGTCATGTGATAAATATTAATTCCGCCGCATCGGCGGGACTCTTACTCTGAAAGTTCATGGATACATCAAACAACCCATATGGACCACATACATCCTCTCCCAAGGGAGGAACGAGTCTACATGAATATCCAAGGATTGATCTTCAGAATAGCAACGCAATGACAACTCCGATGACAACTCCGCAGCCTACCAACGCCCAACCTCCAATCGCAACACCCGAATCCGAAATGTCGCTCCGCGCCACAACCCTCGTCACAAACCTCTCCGCCGTGACAGCGCGCATCACCTCTGCTTCCGCCTCCGCCAATGTCTCTCAAACCCGGCCCCAAGCCCAAAGACCCCAATGCCCCGTCCGCCTCGTCGCCGTCTCCAAACTAAAACCCGCCTCCGACATCCAGATCCTCCACCAGTACAGCCCCGCCTTGCATTTTGGCGAAAATTACCTCCAGGAGCTACTAGAGAAGTCCAAAATCCTCCCTCCCGGGATCCGCTGGCATTTCATCGGCGGACTACAGTCTAACAAGTGCGTGACGCTGGCGCGCGATGTGAGGGGCCTGTGGGCGGTGGAGAGCGTGGATTCGGAGAAAAAGGCTAGCTTGCTGGATCGGGGGTGGGGGGAAAGGAGTACGCAGGCAGGGGTGGGTGAAGATGCTGCGACTACCACTGCTGCTGCTTCTGCTTCAGAAGGACGTGATGCTGGTGCAGACGGGGATCGATTGCGAGTCTTCGTCCAGGTAAACACGTCTGGTGAAGACAGTAAGTCTGGTGTCGAACCGGCGGAGGCGGTGCGTCTCTGTCGATATATCCGGGAGCAGTGTCCGCGGCTAAAATTGCAGGGTTTAATGACGATTGGGGCCATAGCGAGGTCCAGAGCGACGACGATGGAAAATAAGAATGAGGATTTTTTGTGTCTGAGGGAGACGAAAGAAAGGGTGGAAAAGGAGCTTGGGTTGTTGGAGGGTGATGAAGAGGCGGGTGAAGGTTTGGAGCTGAGTATGGGCATGAGTGGAGACTTTGAAGGGGCGATTGCGATGGGGAGTACTCAAGTTAGGGTGGGGAGTACGATATTTGGCGCGAGGCCGCCAAAAGGGGAGGTTAAAATGGTGTAAATTGGAGGTATAATAATGCAAATGCAGGTGTCCTCCGGTTAGACTAGCACTAGGTAACCCGACATGTATCCATGATGAAAATTAGGCTATGTATATGACGCTAGATAATAAATATTCATTGAAATGACACCCATCCCCTTTTCTGTGAAATTGCATTTTGAGTTTATGTACATATGCAGTACATACACATACAGGTATGAAGCCCTTCATTGAGACCTTACCAAAAGGCCATGAGGTGTTTCTTGCAGGATCATGAGGTCACGGAAAATAAAAACGTAAAAGGGGAAAAGCGGGATGGGGAACAAGAAGGGTAATCTTAAAGCAAAAATGAGGGCCAGACGAATAAACAAATAAAAGTTGGGGAGGGGGGTGGTATGAACGTCGACATGCTATAGTATGTGTAAATGGTATCTCCTCACCTTAATCAGTGACACTGGTGGCTCGTTTATCTATCCCAATCATCAGTCATTATCAACAAAGACACCCTGTGCAAGTCTCTCCTCCATTAGTTTCACCAATGCCTGTGGCACGGCGTCTTGTGTTGCGCGGATCGTTATACGGTACATCTAAATTCCCAGTTAGATATACATGCTGTGCCTGGTGGTGTTTTCTACTTAAGGAGACAGGCGTTGAAGGGGGAGGTTCGGGAGGAGGAAGGGGGGAGGGGGGGGAAGTATATACCTTCTTCTCATAATTTGGTTCCAACCTCAGAAGACATCCAGTTTTACCACCATCCATTTGATAAACAGCACAGCCGACCACGTTTTTAGAATTTGGATCCACACCGCCAAGAATCCTGAACCTAAACCCTTGCACAATGCTCCGTGTGAATGACTCGGTTATCGTCCGCCCTTTGCCTTGTACAGCAAAAGTCGACTGCGCCTCGAGAGGTGGGCCACCAATCTGTCGCCATCTTTTAAAGAAATCGTCAGGTGACAAGGTCGATTCATCCATGTACTTGTGCATCAGGACAGGTAGCTGCAAAGTATACGCTTGGAGGGCACCGGCAAGGTAAGAAATCCGAATCGTTGGCGGCTTAGTGAATGGCCCCTTGGACTCGAAGCAGATTGTTTGCTGCGTCTGACTCTGGGCGTGAACATCCGGATCCGGTAGGTTTTTGGAATCAATCTTGATGCTTTGGGGCGAAGGGTTATCCAGGGTTGTGGTGAATGACCCAATTGGAAAAGAAGACTTGTTCGTGAAGTATAACTTGCATACGCCTAGATGAACGCGGTACTCGGAACGAAGGCCAACCTGAATCTGTGCATCTTCAAAGAGGACACCCTCGTCTTTGAAGTACAGACGGTTAAAGCCGATTTCCCAGTCAGCGGAAAGATGTGCGGCACTAGCCAGATTCGGTTCCGGACCATCTGAACTCGAGTTCAAATCCAAGCCAGCCAAATCGGATGATACAGTAGATTTTGCTACGGTAGCCTTTGGTCCAGATGATGTGCCGTTTACGATAGTGGTGAAAGAACGTTTAAGACCTGTCTGCTGGGCCAATAAAATCTCTTGTTTATCGGTATTGGCATCTTTTCCACCCACAACCCATGTCCGCTTGTCACTAATTCCAGCGCTCTTCTGATGCAGTCGCGATAAAAGCACAGACGTCCTTTCCGAAAAAGGTGGCATCTCATCACAAACGGTGCGGAGGAGGTCGTCCGTCGGCAAAGTTGCAAGAGTTAGATACTCACAGGCTCGTTGTTGTAGTTCCGAATCTGGCGACTGGCTGTATACGCGGAAAACACGGAGTAGTTGGGGTTTAATCTCCGGAAAAAGGTTAACAAATTTAATGAAAGATGAGAGGAGTAGGGCCCGAGTAGTGTCTGAGCAAAAATTCAACTTGTTCTGCAGGGCCAAAAACTGCTCGATGGGGCTGCACCCTTTATTGTCCGCAATTAAATGGCCAAATTCACCAAGGATGTAGCCGCCAATCTTCACTAAGCTATCGTGGCAATCGCCTTTGACGTACTGTAACAGGTGTTGTGCGGCATAGGCTTGCAGCTCCTCGTTGTTGGTGACAATCTGAATGACTCGTTGCCAGACCTCATCACTAACATGGTCACCGGCCAGAGAGAGGAGTTTCAGTGAAATATCGATATACCACTGGGCATCAGTGGCATATTTTTCAGTCAATATCGCAATTTTGAGAACCATTTCTTCACGGATGGAATAATCGGCAGTCTGCAAATACTTGAGCAATTCATTTACGATCGGTCGTGCATTAGAGGTATCACACATGCTGTACAAAAGGTCGAGGCCCTTTCGTCGAACGCTAATATCACGGTCTCGCAAGGAACCAAGAATAATATCTTGGTGGTGTTTGATAGGGTCAAGAGTCTCTGCTCTTGCCGCAAAATGTGTCATGGCTTCCAGACCAAGGTATCGGACGTTTGTCTCCCGGGATTGTATGAATTTGCCCAGGCGCAAAGATATTTTCATCATGAGATTATGCTCGGTATCGAGGTGGATAAGAAGATTGATCGCTTCAAAAAGAACCGCATTTTGCGCATTGTTTTGCTGTACATTTTTCGGCGTGTCCATTGCCGAGTGCATGACCTCCTCGATGGACTGTCTGATGAGGTGCCTGACGTGTGTGTCATCTAAATTTAACTCGAAAGGATCAGCAAAGCTACAATTCAATAGGGGCAGAGGGATATTAGCACAAACCCGAAGGTGGATAATACTGAAGCAGTCTTAAAAGCTTCACCTGCACCCATGGGCAGGGGACCTTGTAATATATGTAGTCCTGAGCGATGTCATTGTCGACGACGATTCTCTTAAGCCGCTGGGCAGCTTTGGCGTAGCTTCCTTTATATCGCTCGGGGTTATCTTGCACTAGAGCCATCACGAGCGACAGGACCGACAGAGCGACCCCCATGTCAGGATCATCCATTAGAGAAATTATTCGTTCTGCCCATTCCGGTTGGACAATGCCGGGATGTTTACGATACAATCGTAAAAGCGTAAGCGCCGCCTTTTTCTTCACAAACGCTTTGGAAGTACTACAGAAAACAAGGTAATGTGAGCAAGTGGAACCAGCAGAAGTCGGCGTTTCATTTGCCAGAACACTCACGGAGAGATCAAAAGCCGGTGCACATCGACACCCAGCGCTTCACCCATCTCTCTCCCGCCGACATTGGCCACTGCATGTAGCGCCAAACAGTTATTAAGCTCATTATAGTCCAGGAGGTCTTTCCGAATGCTATTCACAACGAGATGTAATAACTCATGGCCCTCATGAAGAAACAGCGTCACCGCCAGATACCCAATTTGTTTTTCTGAATATTTGTTCGCAGAGATCAAATTCACCGCTTCCAAGTGTCCAAAATCGATATCATAACCCTGTATATAAACATAGAGCAGCTTGCAAACATATTTCTTTTTCTGATATCCATTTAGGTTCGCATCCTTGAACTTCTGTCGGATATTCGCCAATTCTTTGTTGATTCGCTTCTCTTCCAGTTCCCGGGCCCGCGCATTCCGTAGGTCGGCAATGAACTGTACCAATCCCCGCATGGACGACATATTGGCGGAGAGTGCAGTTGCCCGCGTTCACCGTGGTGGTGGGTTAAGATATGCTTGGCTATTTGGAACCTCCACAGCTAGCCCAGCTAAGCTTCGCATGAGACATCAATCACGCATAGTTCTTCTTCTGGACGCCAGAAATTTTCATACCAGCATGGCTGTGGCTCGACGAGAAAAGGCGTGCCGGTCTGCTGCACTTGACGGCGGAGTCGGAGGTAAAGGGGGGAGCCACGCAGGATTCGCTGATGACCAAACGGTTAGATTAATACGCTGGACCCGCAGCAGCCAGAACATAAAAACCTATTGCACAAAACGATCTAGCTGACAGAACAGAAAGCATAGCACAGGATATCGTTGGGATATTGCAATAATCTGACTGAAACTTGTTCCAACGCGTTGATGGCAAGAGGGACGGATCAATAGTTATGCCGAGAACTCCGAGGTTAGTTCTTAGATCATGTGATTTTAGGTAAGTCTTGGCAGTATTTTGGCCTCGGCTGGGCGTGCAAGATATTGAGTGTAACCTCAAATCGAAGATTGTTGAGTGGATTATGCTTTGCTACATTTTCTTTTCAGAAATGGGTGTGAATTGACTCAGGTTCAAGAGTCTTAATTTATTACTTTTATTTTAGGTATTTTCTAGTTATCAAGCGGATGGGCAGGCCAAGTATCGGTGAATATGTTCCAAAAATATTATGCAAAAACCATGCAAAACCCATGCAAGACCCATGCAAGAAAACATCCAATCATTGGACATGTAGGCTTGTATACAGACAAAAAGAAAACCAAGTCAAAATCCAACCGAAGGCCTTATTGCGCTCGGCCACATCGCGCTGAGGTGTGAGCGTCCCAACATTCTCCCTTTCTTCCTGTCCTCTCAGATTTTCATATGCTATGTACTTGTGGTGAAGTCCGTCTCATGGCGGAAGCTCTCTGCATCAAGGGCCCTTTCGCAAGTGCATGAATCTACGGTGGACACGGGGACACCATATCTTGAGTTAGCAAGGTGAACCTTTCTTAGATATAGCAGCCCAAACTAGCGCAGACCACAACATCTCAAGGATGATTTTGAGAACCTCAAAGCTACAGGAAAATCATCCGAGTGTTGACATAGAAAAATCCTTCGTGTTGTCGTGATCCCCTCCGCGAATAAAATCGGCCAATACTGAACACCGTTCTTTGATTGGCGAATACAAAAAATGGGGCTTGACCAGCAATCCACAAAATGGGTGTATGTGCAATGCTAGTACGGAGTTCTCCATATGGCAAACTGGTATTTTGGCAAAAGAAACGAGGTGAAAATTGACATCGACCGCGGAAAGGAAGCTGGGAAAAAAAATAATAAAAATAAATAAAATAAAAACAAACCCACCTGAGGTTCTTTTGCCACACGGACAAGCTTCCGTGAAATGTTGATGATTCTCTGACTCGGCACGCTCACAGGTACATTGACCAGCTGGACGTTTTCCTGGTTTTCCAACATGACAATATTAGCTTTAAGCTCTTGCACAATCTAATGGACGGATGCATGCAAATGGGAAATTCAATAGAAAGGGGGGAAACGTTCGCAGAGCAAAGAGGAAGGAAAAGAATCCAAGCAGAAGAGTAAGACGAAGCCAGGTCAAGACTTACGGCATGAGCATCTGGCGCCTGATGTGTCGTTTTCTATCTTTGCTTTGTCGCAGTTACAATGCAGAGCACGTTCTTTGCCACACGAGCATTTGGCTTGGATGGCACAGACGCATCCGTTGCGGGAGGCATGGCAGCATGAGAGAGGTAGGGTTGTCATTGCGGCTTCTGTTTTTCTTCGTTCTTTTTATTTTCGGTATTTCCTCTTCATCTATATTGAGTACTATGACATGATGGACACTCGTATCCATGGCAGAGAGTTGTTTATCTAGTTCCAAGGTACGTTGTAGTTCTGGACTGGATTAACAACGCCTCTCCTCTAATTGGCTGCCCTGGGGTATCGCCTTGGTGGGGCGACCAGATCGAGCTTGGCATTGGATGGTGCCTGACTCAGCCTGAAAACCCATTAACCAGTCAGAACATTGCCATCTCAAATGGCAGGAATCGGAAGCCAATCTCGCTCGGCATTGTCTCATCGAAGCCAAGTTTTGGGTTTCTTCTGATTAATTGGGCTTGCCAAGGAGGGATTGGTCGAAAGCAGGCAAGCGGGGGAAAAGTAAAAGTAAAAATGAAATAAAAAGGAGTATATAGCTATATGGAAAATGCCAATGCCCGCCTTATTTTATTTATATTCCCGAAAATCCATAAACTATTGGAGTACATCATGTGTTCAAAGATCATCCCATGGACATCGCTGATGTTATGCTACGTGCCAAACGCCCTTTACTAAGAAAAGAAACACATTTTTCGTTTATTCCCATTTTTATCACTTTCTTTTCTTTTCTTTTCTTTTCTTTTTTTTTTTTGGTGGGGATGGGGGCCCCTTTTCCATTCGAATTAAAAGGGAATAAGGGACGCCAGGAAGCTCAATGATGAAAAGTTGCGTTTACCATATGAAACACCGCATCGAGCTGAAGGTGCTATCTAAAGGAGATATCTGGTCTTTGTTGGCAGTGTTGTTTGGCAGGGGATCTGATTGTAGGCCATGGTCACCTCGTTTCCAGCATGCCATATTCAAATGCAATCGGGATGGAGGTTGGTTGGAGCTGTTTGAAGCCAAAGGGATGATGATTTGGAGGGCTCAGATTTTCGAAATTGGTTGTGAGCTGGTATAATGTCGTAAGCCATGTGTCCTATGTTTGGTAGACTACTAGATTGGTACTTACGCGTTGGGCTCAAATTGCCTATCAGGCACGGCTGCTGGAGAATGGTGTCAAAAGAGTGAGTACTACGATATGGCATATCTAATACCGGGAAAGTGGCATCTGGTGTTCCATAACCCGATATGGTTTGGCTATACGACAAATTTTGTTCGTACGAGGATTCTAATGATACTGTCCTTGGATTTGCTGTGATAGGTTGGAATAAATCAGGGACATGATGGCAATATGATTGCGAAGAAAAATGAGAAGAAAAATGAGAAAAGTCGCTGGTTCTTGTGCTTGGACTCATATATCGGAGAGCTGATGCCTGCGGGTTGCAAAATAATGCGAAACGGGACGAGTTATCATGGGTTTCATGTTCTGACCCAGTAGCTAGAGCTGATGTTGGCGACGGGAAGTAACCATCACATCCAGAAGAAGCGCTTAACGGAGATGTCGTATAGTCTTCGTCGCATGGTTTTCTCGTGATAACCGATATTAAAGGCGTAAAAATATCTCCTCCTTCCTGAATGGGGTTGGAGTAAATTCCAGCGGGAGTGAGAGTGTTGTTAGAAGATCGGTGCCAACTCCCGTAAAGGGAATAAATGTCTTCCGTGATATCAAAACCATCAGGTAAGGTCCTAGGTATCAACGTCTTTTCTCGATCGTCGCTAGTTAGACGCTTTAGTTTGGCTCTTCTACCAGTTTTGTAAGCAATGTGAGGATTCGAAAAGCAAGCCCGCGTTAAGAACAGGCAACATACCGATTCTGGAACCAAACCTGCACCTGACGAGGGCTCAAACCCGGGATCTCCTTTGATAAGCGCTCCCTATGGGCGGCATCCGGATGCGCTTGGCGAGTAAACTCGCTCATGAGAAATCGTGTCTGATTATGCGAGAGTCTGGGAATGGGGTTACGATTAGCCAATGTCTACAAGTATGTCATGATCTTTGGGGAATAACCTGCCGAAAGCGCTTCATCCTCCTCTTCGCTTTCAGACGGTCGATTGTTGCTTTTGCAAGGCTCTGCCCCCCAGATTGACGTTGCCCCTGGCCCTCGTGGTCCACGTGAGTCTTAAATTGGTCGACACCTATGTTAATATCGATATCATCTCCAGTGTCGTCATCGTTGGTTTCAATGTTGTCGCTTTCGATACGGTTGAAGATCAAGGAGGCTCCTGATGTCGAATTCGTGGAAGTGGATCGCATTGAAAACTCCAGTTCACCCTCCAGATATTTCATTTTAGCTTGAGGTAATATTGATCTTTTATTGCTTATCTCATTCTGAGCCTCTGAGTCGCCATTGTCCTTGAAATGCAACGCGTGAGGGTCTATGGTTTCACAGACAGGGGGGACACCTAAATGCACTTTTTGCTCTTTCTGCTCGATCACGTTGATTTGGAGTGGACTGTGGTCTTTCATAACAGTTGGGAATAGCCGGAAACTTCGCGGCTCGGAACCTGTCTGTGGGCACTCTAGTTGTTGATTATGCCAACTAGCATTAACCCGGCATATGGGTATGGTGGATATGAATGGCGCCATCACCGAGAGCTATTGTAGCACCATATGCGCTTCGATCGGGTTTCAATTGTTAGGCAATCGTGCGCCTATCAATAGGAATATGGGGTTAAAACGAGATAATCAGAGCACAAAGGTCAATGTCGTGTTCCCATAAAAACCCCCAGATTTACCCAGTGGCATGAAGACTGAAACAATTTTGCCTCCAATATCCTTTGAATTTATTTGTTGAAGCTAGATAGCCTAAAAAGGTTGTCGCGAGTCACCAACGCCTGACTTATAACATGGTGACACAGGATCAGGTCTGACAAAAAGGTGTATTTTTTTTTCCTTTTGAACTTGGCTTTGGGGAAATTCCAATCATCTCCATATCAGTTCCTGTGCCGCGCGCCAGAAGTTCAACAACTGGTTTCGAGTAGTTCGTTTTACAGAAATCTGTCGTAATTTCTCATTACCACCATCTCCGGGGCCTAAGGATCAAGGAGTAAAAATAAAAATTAACCAGTGTCAAAAAAAGTTAACCAGGAAAGGCAGTCCGGAACAAACAAGTCCAGTCACAGCCCAGGTTGACGAGGTGCTACCTATCTGGCGACACCGGATAAGGGCAAAATTCGGGTAAACTCTTCAGGTATTCATGTTCAAGAATGAAAGGACGCTTTAAAGCAGAGGTGAGAGGAAGGGGGAGAGGGAAGAGGAGGTTGGGGCAAGGAAATACAGCACCATCGACCTGTGGTGCTGGAGATGCATTAGAAAGATGCGGAAATAGTATTCATCGGCTCCGTTTTCAACCTGGGCGTAGTTTGGTATTTGAATGGCAATCGATATACGATGCCAATGTAAAAGGAATGCGAATCGCTTGGCCGAAAAGGAACCCGGAGCAAACGAGAGTAACGGAGAGCTGACGGCAAGGATGATAAACCTAGTCATGACATCTGCAGCATGAGGGAGAACTCGGAAGCGGCAATTTCTGCACTCCAAACTGGGTAGTCGATTCGTTCGCTCTATTGAAATGGTCAAATATTTACTCCACACAAACAAAAGGAGTCCGGCCCCCCGCACTTGACTTTCTGGGTCAGTTTCTGCGAATCCGCCCCTTTTTGAGATAGATAAAATAGTGCACAAGGGACAAAGAAAGGGAAGTCGCGGGATAGCTCAGCTTCGCTTCCATGAAGAGAAGTGGACTCGGGCTTGGGGAACATGGTTTGACCTGAAGATACCCCGGATGGGAGGTTAGATATTTAAACCCATCCTTCTAGTTATGGAGTCTGTCCCTACTGCGACGAGCGTACTTAATGCTGCCAGCTTATCCCCGATGAGTTAGCATTGTTGTTGGAACTACCACAGTACGTCCAAATGCGTCCCATTCAAGCCGGTTGAAACAGCTCTTGCGGATGGTGGATGTCTCGTCCTCCATACCCAGCCAGGTTTGGATGCACTCGGCAAGCAAGGAGTTTCCACAATGGCTCAGGGAGCGTGTCAGCATCTGCGACGGAAATTTTAGTCGCAGTGGACATTGGAAATTTTCAGCTGTCAAGGGGCTGACGTTATTGGAAACGAACGCATAATTAAAAAAATTAAAAAATAAAAAATAAAAAATCAACCAGTTTCTTTATCCTGTTATCCATATGGCAAACAACAAAACATTAGGGCTCGGCCCTTCCGTCTGAAGAGAGCGATCAGGATCCACTACATCGGACACTGGGAAACACGGTCTGGATAGGATCCCAATAATGGTGCCACCAGATTGGAGGCCGAAACTCGGAAATGTGCTAAAGCGTAAGGTAAGCCAGTGTTGGGTTCGTCCAGGATTTTCTCCAGGATTTTACCCTGGAGTCGGATTTCGGAGGTTACACGAACACAATGGTGGCACCCAGCGTGAAGCTTTAACTTAACGCAGTTGGCATGTCAAGGGAACCTGGGACACCCAGGATACCAGGCTTCTTGTGGTATTGACTTAAGAGCGCCGAAGTTTATAGGCCGATCTAGGGCCTGTAAAATCCATGAATAAAGCAGATGCAAGGCCTTTTTCTTTACCTAAGAACGCGGAAGGAAACACTCGGGAAACAAGGCGGGAGACGTCGCGGAAATATCATAGATTGCTGTAACAGCGTGTGCCATAACGGGGAGTAGATAATCAGGACCTGGTCAATGGACAATCAATCCCTGATGACAGATAAGACAGTCCGCCCATGACCAAGGGAGTGTGATACATGGAAAGCAGTCACTTTGCAAACATCATGATGCAATGTACCAACTCTTCAACAGTTCATTTTACCTTGAAATTTTTAACTCTTCCCTCCTTAACCCTGTCAAAAACGGCGAAATTGGGATAATGAATGCGAGCTCGAGGGACAAAGGTAGTTGCAGTCAGGGGATAGCGGCCTACAATTCCACCGGCTCTCCAGAGAAAACCCACGCCCAGCGATTGGGAGAAGAATGCAGCATGTCAAAGGAAATGGTGGGGTGAGGGGGCCGCTAAATTTCCAGAATCATTTATGCCTAATATTTGTCTGTCCCCAGGCGCATGATAGGCACATTCTGGCCTGACCCTGACACCGTATCTGTTGTGGGTTTGGATTGGTTCGTCCCCTCTACTACCGGCATGGCGCTGGTGGTGATTGAGCTCTTTTGCCCCAGTGGCCTAACAGTATCACTGTCTCATCAAGGGTGTTTTAGCCACACAATTAAGGTCTATCATGTCCTATGATACTGTGTCGGTGCTCGGAGCAACAATACAAAAGCAGAAAGGGATAAAGAAGAACTCTTACAACCAATTCTCGCAATGTGAACAAGGTGTGGTGTCGTATCAGGAGTGTGTCGATCAGCCTAGGCGGACGGCGTTCGGTGGAGTGAAGATGTGAATCATGCATATATATATATATATATATCCATCTTGAGGAAGAGATAGCTAACATAATGATTGATCCTTTTGGCGTAGTGGCAACGCCTTCCCACAAGATTGCATGTTTTACAGAAGAGGCTCAGGCACCAGCCAGCAAACATGCACAGGCTGTCTCCATATTTCGCTGGCACGATGGGGAGAGACGGGGAATGATGGTGACAAAACATACTCGTAAATAAGCTGCCATTGATGCAAGGCCCAGGAATGCAGGTGAGCTCCAAACCTCCAAACCCTGATGATGATGATCAGTAACTCCCAGGTGTCAAACCTGTGTTGTCAGTGTTGGCAGTTGCTGGCGAAAGAATGAAAGATATAGCTCAAAGCGGGGACACTGAGTCTCGAACACTTCCAGATAACATGGTTATGTTGACCAACAACGAGCGACACCAGGCGCAACTTGCCTTGGACTACGCCAAAACCACTCTGCGAGTCTCATGCAATGCAACCCCTGTGCTTTAACACATCAGTGTTTCTCTGGGTTGGAATATGGGGAAGTGTGCAAGCAATCGAAGGAAGAAGATCCCCATATATAACAAAATTTTAAAGTCATTTTCAGACCGAATTTTTCATCCACGGCTTGTTACGTGTGCATGGCGTCTTAAGCAAAGGCTGTGTCGTTGCTCATGGCTTCGATATTTCGATATTTTGCCATGCATGAGCAAAATGACATCCTGAAAGAGCGATTCGGGTCCCATACCAATGTATCCACCTCTTACTTCCCTCTTGTGATGGCTTACCAACTTTCCTGCCATCACAGCCGAGAAGGGAGTACGAAGTGCTTGGTGACACTAAGATACTTCCCCCTCTCAAATTGGGCAGCCCAACCTTTTTGAAAAGTCAGATCTTGCTCCCGGCCATTTTTTTAATCGGCATGAAGACGCTCAATAAGGAGCAGGCTAGATGGGATACAGACAGGGGCAAAAAGCCATTGACTGGGTTTGGAACTTTATAGAGGTTTTAAAAAAACCTCAGAAACCACAAATCTGCTGGAGTGCTTCGCCTGGCAGCTTCTTCTGCGATGTTCTGTCTACGTTTCTAGCAGTATATGAATGGTCTGCATACGCATCCCTCATTTGCAACTGGAGTTTTCATGGCATTGCTGACAGCGTGTGGGGATCGTTCCTATATTTCCATTGGTTTTGGTTTCTTTTCTTATTCTCTTCTTTTTTATTGTCATTGCCACATTGGTTGACTTGTAGCCTTAACTGATGAGGTCTATTCCTTTCACATCATAGCCTAAAATTGACAGAAATGTTGGCGCTCTCGCTATGACCACATGACGCGCTTGGTGCTGCGCATGCCAGATAGCTAAAGTGAACCAACCTTCCACCTCCATCAAAGAAAAAGAGAATAATAAAGAGAAAAGATCTCAAGCATCGCAGGAAGCAAAGTGGCCTTATTGGCTCTTAGATTTAATCATTTACTCCCCCAAACAAGTTTCTGTCCATTTTCTGTCCATTTGTTTTGTGAGCCAAAAATCTAACATAGCATATAATACCATAACAGCATGCTCCTGCTGCGCATTATTCGGCAATCTTGAAAAGTTTCTCACATATCAACTCGCATGTCCTCTACCCCTGCGTGGGTGTTGGGCTTCCCGGCTCTGCTTAAACACAGCAAGGCGCCAGTATGCCCTTTCGATATGGCAACGACTAACTGGAGCCAATCGTTCTTGAGGTGGTAATGTTGAGCAAGGACCGCGACGACATGTTGAATTCGTTTTGTAACTAACGATAGGAATCGTTTGCGCGATATGAGTCATATCCTCTTAGGGCTAAGCCAGACTTCGAGCGGTGTTAGGCATCTTACTTTTCCATTGAAGCCCATTCGTATTGTGCAATCTGTATCGCCGCAGTCGCCCGTATTGAGTAAGTCTAAATTTGCCGTCGCTAGGACACTTTATAGAATGCATATTCAAAATGTATCACCCTCGATTAAGACTCTCAACGTTGCTGATGGGCTGTTCCATCTGATGATATAGGTGGCTGGTTTTCCTTCGCCTCTTCCCCTTTCACTTGCGTACTTTTGGAAGATCCCTCTTGACCATTGACCCCGTTTTCCACTGTAGCTTTTTGCTTGTTGGCCGCGGTTGGTGTATCTTCTGGCGAAGCAGGCAGCTCAA